GTGAATATAGATGTTTTAAAGGCAGATTTGATCTTTATAGCCGACTTGTCTAGCTCAGATGTTTTCAATCACTACAACTTGCAATAAAACGACCTTGACATTTGACTAAATCCTCTGCCCAAATCCTTACGTGAAATATAATTTAATCAATTGACCCTAATTGGCAATTAATCATTTGAAAGTTCCAAATTTAATTATTAATGTTATATTCTAGTTGTCACACAAAAGTCAATCTTTAGTCCTTTGATAGTGTAGAAATGAAGTAACAAATCACACTGAAGTTGACAACCTCTTTTATCAACTCCTACAAGCAAATTAAAGAATGCATATTTCCAAATGGATGAAACAGTTACATGAACAACTCACTAAACTGAAATAGAAGTAGCTAATAGACACTAGACAAAGTGTTAGATATCACTAACAAATGAAATTAAAAAGACATCACTTTTAGCCTATTAGCATTTACAGAGCTTTAAACAAGATATTAAAAGTTTAATAACATGCTGCACTGGCAAATATGTACATAGTTTGTAAAAGTATTAACAGCTACAACCCTTTAAAAGGCATTTTGTCAGTATTTATTAAAATTGAAAATATTTTTATTTGTTAAGCCTCCTTTTACATGCAGGAATTTATCCAACATATTTATAAGAGAGAAGTGCAGAAGTATGAAAAGTTTATCCTAATAATCTATGCAGAGGCAGAAATCTAGAAACAACTTAAAAATCCACTTATAAAGAAATGACTAAATTAATCATGGACTAGCCATGAACTATTAGGCAACTATTAATTAAACGAGGCAGTATAATGTGTCATATAAATGAGGTATTAGCAAGACCAGAAAGACAGATTTGTTTTTTAAATAAGTTGTGCATATATAAATATACATGGAAAATTTTTGGAATTGTGAAAAATATCAACAGTAATAATTTCCAGAAGTGCTGTAGTATAGGGTAGAGAAAGAATTTAAATGTTTTTGTTTTTAACTCTTTTTTGTAGCTTTTGACTTTGCTATAAACCTGAATAACATTTATAAGGATTAAATGTCTTTCTTTAAGCAGTTAACAATAACTTTAATTTTTTAGAGAAGTTTATATTTTTATCAAAATCCAGATTAATTTTCCTGAACAACTAATTCGGGTTGAAAGATAAATTTAAAAAAGTAGGTTACTAATATGCAGATCATTCCCATTGAAGTTTTCAGTAGTTTATTGTTAAAAAAAAAAAAATGATTATGTCTAGTGTATGTGAGTGTCCTGAGATGTCAAAATACTCCAAATACTAATAAAAAAGTAACTGGTAATTATGTGATACTGGATAGATATCTCAAAAAAAGAAACAAATTAGTATATTTCTATTAGAATCTGCTGACTATACAAATAAAAATTTATTTACCATATTTCTTAGAAAAAAATTACTAATATATTCACTAACCTGAAATTGATACTGCAGCCTTTTTATGTAAAAAATTGAAATCAAAACCACAGACAGCTACAGTTGTGATAAGTAAAAACACTACTTCTTTTTGTTCCAGAGTCCTAATAAACAAATTTAAGATGATGAGTATTTTCTAAGATCTTTCTATGCTGTACATATCATAATATTTTGTCTACATAAATCCTCTATATTCATCTAATTAATGAGGTGCTTTATACTTGGATGATTTATAATTATAAAGCACTTTGAAAAGATCTGTAGCAATCAAGGATAAATCATAATATTGCTACAAGAAGAGATGTATAAAGTTTTCTTTTCTGTTGTTAATAGAATTCTGTTTTTTCCTGTAATTTCTCATCTATCCTGTTTCCCGCCTCCCTTTCTAAGGGAAGAAAGCTAAAGAGACAGTCAGAAAGTGAATTTTAAAGGGTAGTTTCATCTTGAACTTGACTGAAACATAAAGAAAATGAAGTAAAAATATTATGGATAAAAGATGAGACAAGGAAAATTGGATCTTTTAAAATACAGAATTTGGTAGCTTCTTCTCTATGTCTTTATTGTTTCCTATGCTCTAAGAGACCTCTTTCATCAAAATTTGCAAGGCAAAAGTATTATATCCAGTGTACCTAATGTAATAGCATCTCCTCTCTCTAAGTGTGTTATAAAAGAACATATTTGTCATTTCCATGCTGTGGGTTCACCGTATGTCTCTAAAATGAGACACTCAAGAGAATGGCAATCAAACTGATAAAGATTTTAAGTTACAAATTTATGAGAAAATTCTCAAACTAAAACATTTGTTCTTAATGGAAAAAATTCAACTCTAATCATCTTTTAAATAATACTATGTGCATACAGTATACTTATGATATAGCAATTTTATGATATAGAATATACTGTATATAGTAATTTTATGCTATAAATGTGATCTGTTTAGGAATTTTAAGATTTGGCAGGCATTTAAGACTGAAATTAGAATTTTTCATCAGAATAAGCTCACTTCAGTTTCACAATTTTCTACTTATCATAAATTTGTAATTTAAAATCCTATATCAGCATTATAGCACTATCTTTTTAATGCATTCAAACTGTCTCATTTCCTGTTTTTAACCAGTGCTGTCCTCTGAGAAGACACAGGCCTGTAAACCCACTCGCTGCATAATCATATCCTCCCAGCTGATTTGTGTCTAACCAAATTCTCTATATGTATCTAAACTTTAATCTGCCTCTCATAAATTTTAAGTACTATGCCTCATTAAACTGGATTTGTTTTTCTTGATTTGGATGTAAATTGCAGTTTTCTTAAGCTTTCCCACTGTTTGCAAAAAAATACCATGCAAACCTTCTAGTTATTTGGGTTATAACTATAGAAAAGTGATTCCTTAGGATTAGTGATTTTGAAATAAGATTCCAGGACCCACCTCTTAGAATCACCAGGGGTAAAATTACGATTTTCTAGGCCATATTCCAAATCTCAGGAATAAAGATTGCTGGGTAGCGCCTAGAGACTGGCATTCCAAGCAAGCCAGTGCTTGTTAAGAGTGTTTACTGTGAGTTACCATACTGCATAGGCACACTATAGAAACATTTTTTTTGTGGAATGAGGATTTTTGCAGTAACATACTTTCTTTTGTTATGTTTTGGATTTCCAACTTAGATTTACCCTGAACTACTTATGGAGTTGTTTAATTACCTTGTTAACCTGTTCATTGGATTTTGAGGCATACTTTGAAGTAGATAAAAATTATAAAAGAGCAATGCATCTATTTTCCATAACTGTTTCATTAGCTTTAGTTCCACTTGCCTCTGGGAAAGCCCTCTCTCGTTTTGAACCTCATCATTGGCAAACATTAAAAGCATTCATTTAGCAGAAAGTAAATAGGAATCAATAAGGGGAAAAAAATCAGACAAACAAACGGACTGTTTTTCCTCATGCTAGATTTATTTTATTTTTTATATATGCTACATGATTGTTCCTTTCTTTGCACAATGTTTGCTTTCTTTTCTCAGGTGTAGTCCCCATAGAGTTCCCACCACCAGTTCACCTGTGCTCCATCACCATAGTCCCTGTGCACTTTCTGCCCTCGCTTTGATCCCTTTCCCTCTCCCTGCCCTGCAGGGTGTCTGATTTATAGTTGTCTTTGTATTGATGTTTTGTTTTGTTGTGTTTTTTCTTGTAACTTTTTATCCTTGGTCCCTCATGTGGTTCCCCTATGTTCCTCCTATAAGTGAAACTATCTGATTGATATTTTTCTATTTCCTTCTGACTGATTTCATTGGTCCTAATCCCTTCTAGCTCCATCCATGTTGCTGCAAATGGTAGTTTTTTTGTTTTGTTTTGTTTTGTTTTTTGGGGGGGCAATTAACCTTTTTTGAATGGTGAAGAAAGGTCCAATGGGGAAAAGGAACAAAACCTCCTCAAGCAACAACCAATTTTTGGGCATTTGGGTTGTGTCTACATCTTACCTATTATAAGTAGTGCTGCAGTAAATATAGGCATGCAGATGTCCTTTTGAATTAACGTTTTTGTGTCTTTTGGGCCTATTCCTAGAGTGGAATCACCTAATTACATGTTATCGCAACTTTAGTTGTCTGAGGAACCCCCACACAGCTTTCCATAGTGGTTGAACCAGTTTGCATTCCCACTAGGAGTGTAGGAGAGTTCCCTTTTCACCACATCCTCACCAATATTTGTTGTTGCTAGTTTTTTGTTTTGTTTTTTTTTTTTAATATTTGCCATTCTCACTGGTGTAAGATGATAGCTAATTGTGGCTTTGATTTGTACTTCCTTGATTATGAGAGATGTTGAACATTGCTTCATGTGCTTGTTGGCCATTTGCAATTCCTCTTTGGAGAAGTGTCTTTTAAATTCTTCTGCCCATTTTTTGACTGGATTGTTTACTTTTTGTTGTTGAGTCTTTTGAGTTCTTTGTGTATCTTTGTGATCCATCCCTAATCAGTTGTATGGAGTGCAGAAATTTTCTCCCAGTTGGGTGTCTCTGTCATTGTTAATGTCTCTAACAAAAGGACATTTTTGAGAACAGTGAGAAAAATATAATCAAGCCCTCCCTGGTGGTGCAGCGGTTTGGAGCGCTGCACTGCAAAACTAAGCTAAACCATGGAGGCTTCACTGTGAGTTCCATCCCTACCCCAGAGGTCATCCACATGGCACAGCAGACCTCTCCAGTCTCACCCGCTGCTCTCCTCAGCAATGTACTTTGTCGATCTATCTGTACTGCTCCTACTCTGTTTCTGGTGAATCCTCTCACCACCCCTGCCCCTCTGGCCTTTCTCTATGCATAAAGAAATAAAATATTTTTTTTAAAAAAGAAAAATATAATTATAAGAAATATGTTTGATAGATAGCAATCAGAAAAGGTAAACTCTTACTATTTGCAACAGCATCAAAGCAACTAGAGGGAATGTCAGAAAGAGAAAGACAGCTACAAAGTGGTATCACTTTTATGTGGAATATGGAGATAATACCAACCAAGGTTTTTAATTATTATAGCCTATGTTTCTATAATCTTTTTCTGAGTCACTTACAAGTGATATTAAGCAGCCAGTGGTACCAGTTCCATACACAGTCCAAGTAAATCACCCCAGTAAACCCCACATATATGGCATCTTGAGTGTGTATGAATAGCAGTTAAGAATAAACTAGAATAAGTGGACCTGTGCCATTTATGACAAAAAGTATAGGAATCCAATGATGTATTTGACACATGCACCAGAGAACAGTGTAAAGAAAAGAGCTAGGAATTACTTCCAATCTCATCTCTTCTGAATATTTGAGAATTGCTTTTGGAGAAAAATGGAGTTTCCAGAAGTCATGTAAGGGGAAGAAGATAATTTTGATGTTTGAAGTTCCATGAGAGTATTTGAAGCATAAATCTGGACTGTAAAGTCACAAAATCATAGAGTGAGAGCAAGGTGATGTCTACAGCATGAGAAAAGGTTTCTTCCTATATAGAAGCCAGTAATGTAGGAGAAAGTTTTTCAGTAGTTCATTCAAAGTACAAACAAGGCCTAACATAGGTATTGGGTGGAGGGGAACAAATGTAACCATGTTCCAAGGAAGAACTTTGGTAAATTATTCCATTAAAAGAACAGAAGAAAAAAAGAAACAAGATCAATAGAAGTTACAAGAAATGATCACATAAGAGTAAATGTAGAAAAGGGTATGCTTCATGTTTATAATAATGAGCTATATATAGAGAATTAGTAAAATGTAGAACTTAGTAAGACCATAATGTTTCTAGTATATATGTGGACAATACAGAGAGTAGGTCCAGTGAGCCATCATCTGGTTCACCCTTTCACTACTGGAAAAGCTGTAAGTAGAAGCCCCAAAATAAAGAGTGGTACAGTCACACATCAAAAAGATACTGCAGGTTGGATCCAGACCACTGCAATAGAGCAAATGTTGCAGTAAAGCAGATCACATGATTTTTTTATATGCACAAAAATGCATATAAAAGTTATGCTTACACTGTAGTTTACATAAAGTGTGCAATGTCTAAAGCCCAGTATACTTAAGTTAATTTAAAAATACTTTATTGCTTAAAAACACTGGCCATCATCTTACCCTTCAGCATATCATAATCTTTTTGCTAGTGTCTTGTAAAAATTGCAGCATCTGCAAAGTGTAATAATGTGAAGCTCAATAAAACAAGGTATGTCTAATTGTGTAAGAGTAACAGTCCCAGATAATAGGAGGTATGGAATTTGGTAACTCATAGTAAACATATCCAAGTACCTCTTCAATCAAAAATTTCCTTGAGGGCCCTCTCTAGTGGCACAGCAGGTTAAAGCACAGCACTAAAAAGCAAAAGCCACTTCATCGTAAGTTCAATCCCCGCCTGCCCCGGAGGTGACCCACATGGCACGGCAGACCTCTCCTGACCTGCCCACTGCTCCCCTCAGCAATGAATTTCATAAGTCATCCTGTTCTGCTCCCCACTCTGTCTCTGGTGGATCCTCTCACTGCTCCTGCACTTCTGGCCTGTACTCCAGTTCTGTATGTACAAGAACTGTATCCCAGTTCTCTATGTAAGAAAAGAAGTTTCAGCAGCCCAGAGAGCAGCCTACTTCTTTAAATATTCACTATAGCAAACTTTACCATAAAATAAAAATATCTTGAGCAGTCCTTTGACGTTTATTATAATGGGATTTAACCTGTAATAACAAAACGGAAAGGACAGAGGAAATGGATCATGACTGCAATATTGGTATGCTGGCTCTCAGGAACTTCATAGCAATAAAGCCAGTCAATTCCAGACTTGTCTGATGGAGGATTACCCATATCATTCTCACTTCTTCCTGCTACCAAAGTCTTATCTTTGTTCCTGAGAAAGAGAGGAAGTTCAGTCAATTTCCTGCTAGTTAGATATGCAAGTAAATTAGTTGACTGGGGAAAAGATTAGAAACTAGATTAAGTGTCAGACATATCTGTGGATTTCTTTTAAGAAAGTCTTCCGTTTTTCCCACTGATGATGATCAGAATTTGCCTGGAATTTAGTGCATGGAGTTAAGGTCATTCTTGCTATTACACTGGGAAGTAAAAAATTTTCTAAGGCCTGGTTCTAATTTTTCTCTCATCTCTGCAGGTGGTGCTTGGCACTTTTCATTTAATGTGAAATTTTACCCACCAGACCCCGCCCAGCTATCTGAAGATATCACCAGGTATTTCAAAGTTGGCTGTCGAAAGGCAGTCGGGTAGGGAGAATTGTTCTGCTCTTCAGCTCCCTGGAGAAGAGTATGTTTACATCTGGTGACCTTACACTCATAGACACTGAAATGACAAACAAAAGACAGCCGAAGGAGAAAAAATATCTGATGAAAAGATTTGCCAAACCATTTCTGCTCACTGTTGAATCTTTGCTGCTAAGCTGATACTTCCCTCTGCCTGACCACGTGGGAAAACATGAGGAATTGAGATACTGTCATACTGTCATCCACCTACCACAGCCAAATTGGATGAGATTCAGCCTTAAATGATAGAGCCTTAAGTGTTCCTCCTTTAAAACTAAGGCAAAAAAAAAAAAAAAAGTGTCTTTGATCCTTCCTTTTTAAATAGCCATCTGATACTAGATAGCTAATTTTAAGTCATGTATGCTCTCTCGCTCACACACACACACACACACACACGACACATGCATTCAGAGTGTCCTTTCCCTGCCTGGGTATCCAAGGAAAGGATTCATTTTGAAAGAAAGGTATTGACATACAAATATTCTGACTAGTTTGTTGACTGAGCTTTGAGCATGAGGAGGGGTCCCTTTGGGAAGCTGCTCCCCTCCATTTGCTGTGCAGCTCTCCTGGCTTCTCTGCATTGGAGAATGCAACACGAAGGCCTGACTCCTGCTATCTGGTAATAAGTCTGCAGGCATCAGAGTGACATAGTGCAGTATGTGCTGCACTTACTGTGTTAACCTCACATCCTTCTTGGAAGTCTGTTCAGAAAAGGAAATTCCCCAAAAAGTGTCGATCTCTTGCTATAATTAGAAACAATTTCACCAGACATAATGAGAGAGGTAAAAACTAGTTCCAAAGGATGTCTTTTATATTTATGTGAAATCAGAGAAAACTTACGTTTTCTTAGCCAGTTACTCTTAGTAATATTGAGAAGCCATTTAACTGTGGCTAATCTGTGGGTGTAGAACCTATTGTACCTGGTTTTGAAACTTAGTCTACAATTCCTTGCTATTATTGTAAGGATTGCAGAGTCTGTGAAGCGTTCACAATTTTTTATGTCTGGATTACATAGAGTTTACTTATAGCATCAGTTTAAAATTACTTGAAGAGAGGATCTTAAAATATTATCATAGCCTTCAATTTCAATAATTGATTTCTTATATGAAATTATAAGCATGTTTAATTTCATGAAATATGAAAAGTACCATGAAAAGTAACACCATGAAAAGTATTATTAAAACTTATCAGCGTTAACTTTTGCCTTGGAGTCTTCTGCAGTTATTATCAGATCTATTAATCTTAAAAGTAATATAACAGCTGTTATTATGGATAATTTTATGATATCTTGGGAAAAATATGGAAAATAATTTTATATTGTATTTTTATATACTTTATATTTTAATATAGATTTTACATTATATGTTACATATTATGTTCTCACAATTTGAACCTGCTTAAAGTGATGAGATTCTCATATGTTAAGGTAGTAATTTTTAGAGTTAGTCTTCCTACAAATTGGAATCTAAGACAGTATCTACATTCAAAACAAAAAAAGGAATTTGAAACAGGAAAAAAAAATTCTCTATTAAAATGAGATGATCAGGTTAGAAAAGCAGGAAATTGAGAGGATAGTTTATCATAACATGGTTGTTGAAATGCCTGAAATCTGTCTTGGCCATATACAGTATTTTTTAATTTAGATATCAAGATGAGATTTCCTTAAGCCTAAGAGATCCCTCCTGATTATTTTTAAGAACATCATTTTTCTATTATAATTGTCCAACCAAAGATTTCAGGGCATGTGTTGAGAATTGTTCACTTGACATTAAACATTATTTAAAAGATAGTAGAGGACTATGCCTTTCATTTCTTTTACTGTGTACTTTGCTAATAAAACCCTGCTTTTCAATATTGACTTGCTTCTAGAAGCTCTTAAATATTCTGTTTTGTAGCCAAGGATTTTTATATCTAGGTGAAAATATAGATGCTAGAAAATGTGGCCCTGAGATGATTTGACAGGGAGTAACTGCTCCCAGCACAGTTTGTTCTGGCTGGCCTGCTTGCAACGTGCCCTGATGCCGGCTTTTTGCTTTGTCCCTTGGCTCCTGGAAGGTACTACCTCTGCTTACAGCTGCGAGACGACATTGTGTCTGGAAGGCTGCCCTGCTCCTTCGTCACCCTCGCGCTGCTGGGCTCCTACACTGTTCAGTCAGAACTTGGAGACTATGACCCAGATGAATGTGGTAATGACTACATTAGCGAGTTCCGATTTGCACCAAACCACACGAAGGAGCTGGAAGACAAAGTGATCGAGCTGCACAAGAGCCACAGGTTAGTGGCAGAGACCCAGAGAGCAACATTTACCTCGTGCCTTGATGGACAAGTTTGACTTCTGCCCACATTTTCCAGGGCTGACTTCAGTCCACTAAAAATGGGGCTAGAACCGAATGAGGTTCTGTATATGGTACAGTTCTGAAATTGTCACATTCTCCTTCCCCATCTCCATTTGTAATTTTTTTCTTTAAAAAAATATTTTCTTGTAAATAACAAAAATAATGAACAACCATATGCCAGAGACATTTTGCGGGGGTGGAGTGGGGAATGGGATCAAAAACGGGGGGGTAGGGAGGAAAATGCACGGGATTATGGTGATGGCACACGGGTGACTTAGTGATGGGAAACCCACGGGGATTACAATTGAGATGGAAAAAAAATGTACAAAATGATGTAAAAATAAACTTTTGTAAAATAAAAAATATATATATATATTCTTGTTATCCTTCTGCCCTCAGAGCATAAATCTCTTAGGACCCTTGTGGAGGTTTGTTTATTAAATAGCAAAGGAGCTAGGTGGGAAATATTTCAAGAGTACCTGGTGGAAGAAAGCATTGTCATGCATTTCTCTTTTCTTATCAGAGGAATGACACCAGCAGAAGCAGAGATGCATTTCTTGGAAAATGCCAAAAAACTCTCCATGTACGGGGTAGATTTACATCATGCCAAGGTATGCATTTTTAAACCCTAAACTTTTTGTTTAATTTTATTTCATTCAATGTTGCTATTAATATAAATACCAATTTCATTCAACTAATGTAAGTGAAAACTTTGGGGACTCAAACTTGTGTTTGCCTTTTAAGTCTTGCTCAGCAATAAAAGATAATTTAGCTCTTTGATATTTTACTGGGGAGTTTTCTGTATTCTACATGGCTCAAATTCACATGACGCATGGCCTCAGCCAACCAAAAGCCTGCAGTAGGCAAAGTCTCTGATTGCCTGTTGGTTCAGTTAGATTTTTATCTTGTTATAACAAGCTCTTCATTCACCTGTCCTTGTCATGATTCTGCCTCCTACTTTGTGCTGACACCTGTCCTTTGCTACTGCCAGCCCTTTCTCTTCTACGTTTACCCTGAACATACCCATGTTTCTGGACTGTTCTGCTTCATCATGTCTAAAAGTGGCCAGTTGTCCAATATCCAGTTGTCACATCTGTAAATGACAAGAACAGTTTATGTGCTGATTCTGGGTTTTCACCAGACACACAGGTGTTTGATGAAAACATGTAATTTGTTAGGATGTGAGGGATAATTTCTTGTACTTTTATCAGTATTCAGAAGATGTATTTGAAGTCCAGGGATGGTTTCTTCTGATTTGGGCCAATAAGATGCATCATTTCTCTATAGAAATGGGTGTTTGACTTCTGAAGAACAAACTGTCACCAAATTTATTGTGGAACTTAAACGAATATGCAGGTAACAGGTTTTTAGGCAAGTGGGTGTCTTATACACAGTCAAGTTTGAGGTCAAAAAAGGGAGAGAGCTTTGATTGACTGTGATCCAGAAAACATTTCCATGACCCCAAGGAACCATGGGAAAGAACTTGATCATCTGTAGGTTCTGTGTGATACAAGGGAACAGCTTCTGGCTTGGTATTTGAGAAGCAGACTATTTCAAAGTGAGTTTGAATTTTGACACGAAAATGTCAAACAGGGGCCCTCCCTGGTGGTGCAGCGGGTTAAAACACAGCACTAAGAAGCTTAAGCCACTTGCGCATGAGTTCGATTCCCGCCTGCCCTGAGGAGATCCACATGGTGAGGCAGACCTCTCCTGACCCGCCCGCTGCTCCCCTCAGCAGTGTACTTCGTCGATCTGCCTGTTCTGCGCCCCACTCTGTTCCTGGTGAAGACTCTCACCCTCCGCATCTCTGGCCTGTACCCCAGTTCTATATGAATAAATAAATAAATCTCTAAAAAAAAAGAAAATGTCAAACAAATGCAGGTTTGATTGTTTATGCCCATGGGCCATTTTGCGCATCCTATAGGATGAATACTTCCTAGACCTGAAGGTCTGAGTGCTAGCAAACCTCCAGAACTTGGCCGGGGCATTGAACGTGCTGGTACCTTGAGTGCCAAGCTTGGTGACATTTCTGTGTAACTACAACGGCAGGTGTAGCTCTCTTTTTTTGCCAGCTCATTATTACATTTCTTCATTTATTTTGTACTCAGATGGCAAAGGTGTTTTATATTTTGTGCCAGGTACAAGGCAGAATGAGGATTTTAAAAGAAAGAGACACGCATAGATTGTTTTTTCTTAGGGTTTCCCCCCTACGTCACTAAAAGACAAGGAAAGAAGAAAAAAATGAAGGTAGCCTGCAAATTTGAGTTACATTATATACAGCAATTCACTTAACTGCCCAGGGTAGATAGGTGGACTGATGGAGGGAAGGAGAGATGAATGGATAGATAGATTATTAGGGCACACATTTAGAGACATACAACTCAGGATGCAACAATGTTTCTGTCCATAAAAAAATAAAATCACCTATCATTACTGTACAAGATTAAAATAGCTACATTTTCATTCAGTAATATGATTTGAAATAATGCCAATTAAAAAAAGATAATTAAGGAAGCCTGCTATAGGAATTTATCTGAATATTAAATATAGCAAATGATTCAGTTATAGACTCATTTTCTCATGCAGCCACACTCCATCATTTCAAGAAAGAAATTTACTAAATTAAATTACAGCTGATTTCTGATTATAAGTGAGGTGCTTTTCTTCTGTTGGTAGGAAAGACCCTAAGCTTTATGGCTTATTTAGATATTCTGAATCATGAACTTCACAGTTCTGTATAAAAGAATAAATACTCATATTAGATGAAGGTCATGTGTTTTGCAAAACCTGTTCTCAATGCTTTGTTATTCTCTTAAGAAGACTGACTGCTTGGTATTTACTATCAGTCTTAATAGACCCTTTCAGAATTATTTATTTCATAGAAAATTCTAAACTATAGATATACAACCAATTCAGCTGTCCATGGAACAAGGATAACGAAGGATGGAAAAGGTTGAACAATGATGTGAAGTCAAGGAAATAGCATACGGGTTTATTTAATTATGACAGACCGGGACTTCCCAGCCCTCACTGCTTCATGCTGGAGGAAGCATTCACTGTGCTATTGGTGGGAAACACATGTCCTTTTCTCCCCCTCCCCCAATGAAGACAGCTATTATAGTACAATAGATTTATCAGACTGCCCTCAATACTATGGGAGGAAATGGGCAGAACACTTAATATTAGAAGTATTTTTTATGGCTGTGTGACTAATAAAATACTTATCCATTTTAAAACCCTACTTCATCCTGATACTGCCTTTCTTCATTTGTCTTTTCTTTATGCAAACACTGTTATGACTTAGCATTTGCTGGGAGGCACTGTGCTCCCCACACAGTCAGGATGATGAAGTTGCTGCCTCTCAGAGAGGGTTGTGGGTCAGGAGGATTGGGCCAAGGAACAGCTTCCCTGCAACACCATCTGCTTGGGGTGTTCTGGAGAAACAAGCGTTAAGTAGACACAGTTGTGTACATCAGAGAGGACAGGAGAAAGGCGGGGTGGTGTCCTTCGGACACCCTCATCTTCCCCATGAAGGAATTCTGTTTTCTTACAGTTAAAGACACTGATGAGTGGCCCTCCCTGGTGGCGCAGCGAGTTAAAGCACTGCACTGAGAAGCTAAAGCCACTTCCGCATGAGTTCGATTCCCGCCTGCCCCAGAGGTGACCACATGCCGTGGCAAACCTCTCCTGACCCGCCCGTTGCTCCCCTCCGCAGTGTACTTGGTCGATCTGCCTGTTCTGCTCCCTACTCTGTCTCTGGTGAAGCCACCACCCCTGAGCCTCTGGCTTGTACCCCAGTTCTGTATGTACAAATAAATAAATCTTAAAAAAAAAAGACACTGATAAGTAATTCAAAAGTAGATAATAATAAAAAAGATTGAAATATCCTCTCCCTTCATAAGTAAGTCATATTTCCTAAACATATGCTGCATATGTATTAAAAAGAAAGCAGATCAAGGAGCAGCTACTCAAACAGGCCTCCTCTTGTCTGTCTTCCTGCTCGTGGTGACTGTCACCCCTGAATTGTCACACAAGCAGACTGGCTGCTTCTATGGATCAATAATGCCGGCTGTTTGTCAGCATCAGGTTATAGCTCTTTAAATGGCTCTTTCAAATTAAAGCCCTTGATAAATGGTGGGCAGTTTCTGGTCCTTGAGTTCTCAAATTCTATTATGTTGCAATATCCTGCCATCAAGTATATCCACTCCTCTGGCGTAATTTCATATCTAACCCTGTGATACATTACCGAGGAAAAATATTTCATTTTAAATCAATTAGATTGGATTTGTAATGTTAAATTTCATAGAGATGGACCAAAATGTTTATTGTTAATGCTGGAAATGATCATCTTGTCCCTTGCCCTGACAGGATTTAGGAACTAAACTCCCACAACATAGATGAGGCAGATTGTGCTACCTTCCATGCCCTTCCGTTCTGTGGCAGAGTGTGACTCAGATGGCCATGCCCACTAGTGTGACCAAAGAGCTCAGCTTCATCTCCTGTGTGCCCCTGCTTCCTGCAGCCTGTGAAAATGGGGGAAACCATACCTCAGAGTTCAGCCTCTGGCCTTCACTTCACCGCACTCAGACCCACTTACATGTTCCTTTTACACTCATGCTATCAGAATACAGTGTTTAGGGAACACAGGTTGTACGTGACATGTTCCCTGAGCTTCATATGACCTCTCTGGTTATAGGGGAGCCTTACTGGAAAGTATGTTCATTCTTGAAAAATTTTTCTTTGACAACACTGTTGTGTAAAAAAAGACTTAAGGTTCTTTTTCAAGAAACAAACTCCGAGACACTTAGAGAAAGGGAGGTAACCTCCCATTTAGTATCTAGCAGATTCTTGAATGACGTTTCACTGAACATCATTTCATCATCAACTTGATGAGAAAAAAACACTTACAGCTGATAATGAATGAAGAGACTTACTCCACTTATTTCACTGTCATTTTTTTTAAAGATTTATTTATTTGTGCATACAGAACTGGGGTACAGGCTAGAGGCTCAGGGGTGGTGAGAGGCTTCACCAGAGACAGAGTGGGGAACAGAACAGACAGATTGACAAAGTACACTGCTGAGGGGAGCAGCGGGCGGGTAAGGAGAGGTCTGCCACACCGTGTGGTCACCTCCAGGGCAGGCAGGAATCGAATTCATGCGGAAGCGGCTTTAGATTCTCAGTGCTGTGCTTTAACCCACTGCGCCACCAGGGAGGGCCCTCACTGTGTCATTTTGCTTAAAGTTGTAGATTCCCAAAATGAGCCATGTTAACTGTACATCACTAACAAGTTCTACCTCCAGACTAGGCTGCCCACATTTAACAGGTTAAACACCTAACCTCTCCATGCCTCAGTTTCCTCATCTGCAAAATGGGAATAATAATAGCAACTATCTGAAAATATTGGAGTGACAATGAGGAGAGTTAGTATATATAAAGTGGTTAGTGTCATGCCTGGCACTCAGATGAGAGAGCTATGGGCATTATTATTATTATCATTAACACAGCCTCATCTGGTTGGCCTTCCCAGAGTGCAGTGTTTATGACATGAATCACCTGGGTGAGCAGAATTTATTCAGAGGCTCTCTATTAATAGACTATTACTAGTGGCAATTTTTTTTTTTAAGATTTATTTATTTACAGAACTGGGGTGCAGAGGCAGTGAGAAGATTCACTAGAGACAGAGTGGGGAGCAGAACAGGAAAATCATCTGAGTACACTCTGAGGGAAGCAGCAGGCTGGTCAGGAGAGGTCTGCAGCACCATGTGGATCACCGGGGCAGTCAGGGGTCGAACTCATCCTGCAGTGGCTTTAGCTTCTCAGTGCTGTGCTTTAGCCCACTGCAACTTAGTGGTGATGTTTTCAGAAACAGCTGTGGCACTTTTCATATTTAAATTAGAGGTACAAGTTGTATATTATAGGTTCTGTCATGGAAGTGTAAGCTGTAAGTGGAAATAAGTGAGATGCTGATTGGTTCTGTCTTGCTGCTATTTTCCAGGATTCTGAAGGAGTAGAAATTATGCTAGGAGTTTGTGCAAGTGGTCTGTTGATATATCGTGATCGGCTGCGAATCAACAGATTTGCCTGGCCTAAGGTTCTAAAAATTTCATACAAACGGAATAACTTTTACATTAAGATCCGGCCAGGAGAGGTAAGTGGACTTGAATTTACATGTAGGTTGGGGCGAGAGGTACCTGCTAGCAAACAGAAGTTTAAATTACCTGCTCACAAATTCTAAGCATTGTGGGACAGTGACTTAGGTCTAAATGCCTAAGAGAATTTATAGTAGGTTTGTCCAATAAACAGTAGTAAATGTTCTTACTGTGTTCCCATTTCCTCCCACTGTATATATTAATCAGAAGACATTTTTATATATTTTAATTTAAAATCAAAACTCATGAATAATGTTTTGTATATTTCAAGCTGTGGTATAAAAGAAACTGTTCATCATTAAACCTCTGTGAATAAAGAATAGATTACTTCCTTTCATCCCTGTTGTTATGTCTCTGGGCCCCTTTCTACACTCCTAATCTGATGGCACTTTAAAGTGAATAGCTCAGAGATAATGTGCATCAAAGTACAAGAAAGATTAGAGCAAGGGACTTCATGTGAATAAAGTGAATGTTTCACAGTCTGATGTCTTTTCTGCCTTTTTTTTAATCAGAGCAGCTTAATGAAAGTGTCAAAATTGTTAGCTAACTCCTTGGGCAATAGCATCCCTGATAAACTATACTTATATCCTCTTTTGTGATTTTTTACATTAGCAAATAGTAAATATTTATTATCTGCTTAATAAGTCATTAATAAATATCTCCAATTTCTAATTATTGTGATAAATGTAAAGGAGGCAGTCAAGCCCATTTATGTCCTGGACATTTTCTGGTACAATAGAGAATTGGCTGCTAATTTCAAAATCAACCTCTCTATATGGAAAATGCAATTAAAAAATCATACTGTAGAGCAAGCAATCATGCTTTGTGTAAATGTAGAACCATGCTTATCTGTGAAGGCTGAAATAATCTACAAATTAAAGCATTTTTCAACAGAAGTTTAATACAGTAGTTTATTTTCTATACACTACATGTTAAACTTACAGCCCATATCCCATATATATTCAGTATGCTTTTATTGAATGAGCATCTGTTTATTGTCAGGCACCCTTTTGGACATTGTAAATAAAAAGATAGCTATGACTTTGTTCCTGCCTTCAGGTACTTTCTGTTTAGCAGAGAACCAGGCTCACCCACTTAGAACTACAACATCACAATGCAGATGTGATAATATTCCATAGACATAGCGAAAGCACAGTATAATGAGAGAAAGAAGCAAAAATTAGACAAATGCATTAGAAGCCAACAGTGGGCTATGAAGGGTTTTTAATTTAGGACATGGCAAAACTAGATGAATATTTTGCAATGGTAGACCTGTTAATCAAATTCTGCTACTTAGAATGTGATGTGATATGATCTAAACTGGGACAGAGACTTTGGGAATAGAATAGAGCAAATTTGAGAAAGGATTCTCAAGTAGAACCAATGGGTCTTAGAGACAGGTAAGGATCAGAAGAGAGAGTTGGGGGTGGTCAGAGTTTTTCTTTCAGTTCATATGAATGAGTTTTTCTTTCTGTTCGATGTAGACAACAGCATTAGACAAGAGGGTAAAGGGAAAACTTCAGAAAAAAGGGTTGAAATCCTTTTGGGACAGGTTGTTCAGGGGTTGATTTTTCCTAGTAAGGAATATAGGCCTCGAACAGAGTCTTCACCTGCATACATTTCATTTAAATTCTTAGGTATGGAGTAAATTAACCAAGAAACAAGAGAAAGTAGAGACCCTAAAATAAAAATCTGGGCTAACATTACTATTTGAGGGAGATGGAAACAGAAGTAGAACATAGGGTGATTAAGAAAAACTGCCAGAGGAAAAAAAAAAGGACAAGAAAACAGGAAAAAAGAGATGAGATTCAGGGGCTGCAGTCAGTGTCAAATGTTACACAGAAAACCATGAGAAAATTCAGAAAACTCACAGGATTTCACACACACACACACACACACAGTTTTTAAGTGAGGAAAGGACGTCATCAGGGCTTCTCCTACATGATGCTTAGCAGGGAGGAATGTAATGGGAGTTCTGTATCCAGCAGAAGCAGGCTCATAGAAAAGCTCCTTATCTAAGAGGATGTTTATAGACTGAGAAGAATGAGTGAGAAGAAATGATTGGAGGTGCAAAGGTTCTGAAGAGATTAAAAGTAGATACAAAGCACAAAAAGAAACATCAAGGTTCAAAAAACACAGTCCTTGCTAGGCTAGCAGTAGAAAATGCCTCCAGCTTCTTGCAACAGGGAACCAGTGGGTCTTGTTGAAACCCAGTCTTACCTTTGTGTATGGCACAGTGAGCAGTGCGGGATGAACCAGAGGAGGTGGTTCAGTCAAGATCCACTGTACTCTGGCTTGCTGGTGGACGAGACCCACCGGGCAGTAGTGATTTTTGTGACTGTCTCTACTGTACATGGAATGCAATGCATAAGAAATTGAGAAAGGTGGTGGCAATATTTCTCACTCTCCCACTGTGCATCTCGCTCAAAAAACAAGAAATAGAGTCCAGTGTAATTGTATCACCTGTGCTGCGCCCAGGCCAAGGCTCTCTGTTCTTGCCACATGAAATTACTTCTGGTATTGGGTAGCATTCGTCTCCTGCGTGCTTTGGAAAACTTTTACTGTTTAGGATGATTGCCCTCTGGTGGCCTAATGTGTCCATCTTTAGAAAATAAAAGAAGGTTGAGCATTTCAATAATAACATTAAAACATATTACTCAGGAAATCAGATAGTTCACCTTGAAAAGTCAGATGGCTGATAGTGTCATCGGAAATGTGCATATTGAAAAATATGAAAATGTCTTCTTTTAATCTTCAACTTATATGTGATACTGAGAAATATTAACATGAACAGGATAGTCTATGTTAGAATGCCAAACAAAATCAGCAATGTCTGGTATTAAGTCATCAAACACCTAGGACACATACATTCACTCCAGAACAAATCTTTGGAAGAAAATGTCATCCTGACAATGCTGTAAATATTTTGTTCACTTCTATACATTCCACTTGAAGCCATAATTTCATGAAAATAAGGCTTATAAATTTTATCACAAAAATGGGATTCTGCAAGGAATCCAAATGGCTTCTTTTCTTACATTTTGTTTTTATTAGATATATTTGTACATAAATATTAGTTCATGCATGATGTGGTTTTTCCATACCTACTTTGTTTTACAGAAATAGATTTTTTTTTAAATGAGTATGTAGCAGCTAAATTCTTCATGCAGCAATTGATTTAGGGAGTAAAGAAAAAAATATGGATGTGGTATTATGATTTTGTAAATTATTTGCTTTTGTGTTATAGTCTAGACTTGACTCTGCTTTTCAATACTTTTTTTTTTTTAATTCAGTTTGAACAATTTGAAAGTACCATTGGGTTTAAGTTGCCAAACCATCGAGCTGCCAAGCGTCTATGGAAAGTATGTGTGGAACACCATACATTTTTCAGGTAGGCAGAGATCTTTAAGGTGTTTCTTTTAAAATTGGAATTACTGGAATGACACTGGAAAGAGTTGGGAAGAAGAATGTAGAAATAGCTTCTTCCTGTTCCTTCAAATTCATTGTCACCAGATTTATTGCTAATAAATCATTAAAAAATTTGAGTAATTGAAGAATTTTTTAAACTTGTCCACACTTATCTGGCCTTCCCCTCCTTTCCTTATTATCTTTAATGTCTTCTTCTTATTAATAATATTTAACATTTTTGATATTTTAATATTTTTCAATGTCCACTTCATATATCTAATACATTATTTGCTATTTCATCAATTTCTCAACACCTTTGTATTCTGTCTTGTGCACATAGTATTAAGCCCACTAGATTTGTGTCTTTAAAATAGCATTGTCATTGTCCTTCACTACTACCATTGATTTAATTGCCCTTTGAGTTTACAGAGCCAAACACTTTGTAGTTGCATGGGATATTTAATAAAGTTCATCTAGCTCAACTTGAAACCTATTTGCTTATATCCTTTCTACAAAACCCCTACTTGATATGTACTGTGTGAAACTGATTATTTTTCTTATAAAATATGTTTAATTTCACTGTATATTGGGTGTTACACCTTTGGCACATGAAGTACTTCACCATTCAGGAAAGGAGATGATGTTAGAATAACATTTTGAATATTGACTTTAATAGTCTTTCTGGTGTTTTTTCTTTGATAGACTCTTATTACCAGAAGCACCGCCAAAGAAATTCCTTACCTTGGGCTCCAAGTTTCGTTATAGTGGCAGAACACAAGCCCAAACAAGGAGAGCCAGCGCGTTGATAGACCGTCCAGCCCCTTACTTTGAACGCTCATCCAGCAAACGTTACACTATGTCCCGGAGCTTGGATGGAGGTAGGTGTCAGCTACCCTTACCATTCACTAGTGGCTACCCAGAAGCAGGGTAAAACTGCCACCAATGTTTGATAAATGTTGATTGTCTCAGGTAGTTATAAAATGAAAAGTGCTTGTTGGTCTGTGATTTATGGGAGTTTTTAACACCTCACCTTTGTGAATCTAATTTCTGTTATCAGTAGATTCATAAGAATTGCATTAAATGATACTAAGGGAATGAAGAGGGTAGCTTTCACAAACCCACACCCTGGGTATGAAGAAAAATGCTCTCACTTTAAACACACTGATCACATACTGTGTAAGTAATTTGGTTTTCTTGCCTGTAGACCTTTAATGAGTAGTATAGTTGTTTCAGAAAGAAAACAGTAAGTTAGACTACTCTGTTTAAAAAAAAAAAAATGTGAATTATGTGAGTCAATAAATAGCTGATAAAAAGGTTCACATCCAAATGCCAGAGTGAGGGGCTCTACGTTCTCCTGGTTAGTATTAATTACTATGCCAGATGGTTGCTGTGTTCTCCACTGTTAAGCAAATTAGTATGGAATGAGAGAATCGCCTAAATCACTTAAATAATGTTTTTAAAGAATTGTAAAATAGTGAATTTTTAGCAGGTTTTGGGTTTCTTTGTTTATTTCCATAATGGTTTGTCTTCTGTCCCTACTGACTGCAAGTGTGCATTCTGCTACAAGGTCTGTCAGCTTTAGTGACACTTAACTCAGGAGCTGGGTCAAGGCCCAACCTCTTGTCTTCTGATTTCCAGTGTCCAGAGATTTGTTTTATAAACAACACACCCTGTGCACATAAAAGGAGACATTCTTAGCATGTGTTCATTAGTTTAATAATATACAAAAACATAAGTAAAGTAAAATAAATGAAAGTTATAGGTATCTGGTGTCACCTTCTTCCTCACAGTCTTTGTCACCAATAGCCATCACAGCTCATTTTTTCCCCATCCTGGGTGCTGTGTCCCAGTGCACTCAGAGGACAACATGTTCTCTGGATCCCCTGATCAAAAGGACTGTATTTTCCTAACAGAAAAATTTATAGAATTTTTCAAAGAATCAGCCTGCACTCTGTTGTAAGTACTATCTTATGTATGTTACTAGTGCAGTGAGAACACTCATCTTGTGCAGGTGAATCCAGGTGAATCTAGTGAATGACTTAAATTCTCAAGTGCTGGCTTAAGGTCATCATTTGTATGTAAAATGAGAGTAAGGCCACCTTACTCCTGACAGGAGTGTTATAAAGAGTAAGATATTCATCGGACAGCCTTTTGTTATAGGTACAATAACAATTATATTGATCATTGGTCTTATAGGCTGTCAGCTGCCAAGAAAGCTAATCACCTTCTTTATCTACTCATAGCTTGCCATTTCTAGTTTAAACACAAATTTGTGGAATAAAATGACTATTAGGACTGTTTTGAATTAAGATACTGACATACCCATGTTGACCTCAAAACTTTCTTTCTGCATTGTTCCCTTTACTCTGCCTTTCAACAATCTCTGTAAACTCTGTGTGTTCTCTAAGTCGGTGTTGGAAGAACTTCTGCAGAATCACTACTTTTCTTCCCCTGAATGGCATCCACTTTGTCCAGTGATGTGTCCCTGAGGGAACACATTGATTGTGAATGTTGTTTTATCCTCATGACTTTTGTGTAATAATGATTACTGAGAAGATAGAAAACAATTGTGGAACAAATGTACTAATATCATGCTGTCTCTTCCTCCCTGCCCAAAAGTGATGCTAGTATGTCTTGTCTCTCACTCTTTGGGGTCCTGACAGTTGCAGTATGTTTTCTGTGCTGCTGAGCTGGTTTCCATGGCTGCCTGTTGCAACATAAAATGCTTTGTGCAAGGATGCATTTTCTATAAAACAGCCTTAATTAGTCTGTTTGGAAACTTGTGTCTTGTATGAACTCTTTCATCAGCAGAAGGAGATATAAATATCTTAGTGAAAACATTTTAGTGATAATTAAGCCACTACAAGGATCTCAGAATCCTTTCACATATTTAGATTTTAAAGTTCCTTAAATAAAAATTATTATATTTTGCCTGTCACTAGCTATTGGATATGAGAAAAGCAGTACTTATCAGATTCAATAAATTTTATAGCTAAAACCTAAAAATGATAATTACCAAATTTTTAAAAATTTAACCGAATAAAGCATCTCTTTCATTAAGATGTTTTAGCTGGGATGGGAGGCTGTCATTTATATTCTTATGTTTGCATGTTTTGCATTTGCATGAATTTCATTAGCAACGTTTGTCTTGTTTTCCCATAATATTAGAGATGAATGAATGTATGCAATCATGGTCGTCTGCTTAAAGTGCAGTAGAAATTAAATCATTTCTACACTTCAGTTGAACAGAGTTGTCATCTGAATTTTATAATTTGTGCTAGGTTAATTAATTTTTATTATTATCCATGGGGCTTTTAAATCATAGGAATGATAGATTTTTCAACCAATAATAATAATAACAATAATAAATATTTCAGTGCCCCCTGGTGCATGGCATTTCCAAAGATATGCTCAAAGTCAAGTGCACTAGAGCAGCTGTCTGCTGCCTTCTGCCCTTACACATCCTCAACAGAGAACTGAGAGCATCTGAAACTATTCTGGTTGCTTTAAGAGATGAGCATTTAAGTCACTTTAAAACACAGGTATAGATGTCACAGAAAGATGAGTCTAAATTAGTTCTCGGCTGAAGGTACCTACAGTGCTGACTTGTCTTTCAAAACAAACTTGGTATTTTTCAGGGGTGTATGTTTCTCCCCATAACAGGGCAATTATTGGTGTTCATCTGTCTTCTCTTTTAACTATGTCCAACTCTATTTCTTGAATTGTATTTGCTTTTAGCATCAGTGAATGAAAACCATGAAATATACATGAAGGATTCTGTGTCTGCTGCAGAGGTTGGTACTGGCCAGTACGCCACAACAAAGGGCATCTCTCAGACTAACTTGATCACCACTGTGACTCCGGAGAAAAAGGCTGAGGAAGAGCGAGACGAGGAAGAGGACAGAAGGAAAAAGGTGGAGGAAGCAACGCCTGTGGCAGCGATCCGGACCGAGGGAAAGGTATATCTCCCAGGTTGCTGTCTATAGCTTGCTCAGCCCTTTCAGAATTACTGACTAATCCTGAGACGATAAGCTAGCAGTGTATTAGGACATGGACTAGTTCGCATTCAGCATTAGTCACACTCATAGTATCAGTTTTTAAGTTGTTATCCTATGATATACTATTACATCAGTCTTTTTCCCCCTGAAAGATTTCTTCTTAACACTTGGAAAATTTTTATTTTAACAATGGGTGTGCTATGTAAGACTTTCAACAGCTGTCCTGTCTGTATATCTTAAAAAGATTCTTAGTGGGTGGCGCATTACACTTTTCTCTTTGGGCTTCCATTTCAGGACTGTCTCTGAAGCTACTTTTTTGTTTGTTTGTTTCTGGCCCCATTCTCCTACCCAAGTACTGGATGTTTTATTACCATTCTTTGCACTGCAAGTAACTCAGTGGCCATAGATAGCACCTGTGTATTTTTATCCTCTCTCCTCTCTTCTCTTCTAATTGTGTCATCAGAGTAACCAGTGGAAATGTTTTGAAAAGGGAGAAGTTTGCAAGCAAAGGCAGACAGTAAATGTGGCATTAGCTTCTCCAAGGTGCTTTTATTCATTAAATTTTGTAACTTCATTTCACCAAGAATTTCAGGTTCCTTTTAAACAGTATTTTTGAACACTATATTTACTTCTGGTGAGCCAACACTAAGACATGAAATTTTACAAAAGCAAAAGTTAAACAATTCATTGTTTAAGACCAAGTACCCAGCTGAGTAGCTCCCTAAAAGTCAGAAAACACATTGGAATTTTCAACATAGTAAAAATGGAAAAGCGAGTGGCTCCGTACAATCTGCAGAGAGGAAGGAAATAGCAGGATTAAAAATTTAGCTGCCTGACACAAAGGTTATGCTAGAAGGTGAGGAAGTGTAGTTCAAAGGTTCACTTTTGTGCACTTGCTCTTCAGTGTATGTGGTAGAGACACATGTGGGACTCCAGAGAAAAATGTACTTTTCGACAAGAATTTAACAGTGACAGCTAAATAGGTAAAACAGCAAACAGCTATTGTAGTTATACTGGATTATTTCAGGTGACCCATCCATCATTTTTTTTGAATGAAATTATTTGCTGAACACAAAAATAAAATATAGGAAATGATAGCGGCAATAGTTGGGTCATTTTTACTGTTAAGATGGGATTTGTCCTAAATTTTGTTTTGCACTTGTCTCAATTAAGTCGGGGCAAGTTTCAGCAGGACCTGAAAAGCAAATGCATTCCATGATTTCTTGAAATTACCCATGACAACATCTGGATGTGTAAATGTGGTGAAGTACAGATGTGGATGGATATGTAGTTTGCTCCAAATTTATATCCAAGTACCACTTTGATTTTAAAAGACCACCACTTTTTTTACATGAAAAAAAGATTATCATTTTGTGCCATTTATGTACATCATGGGGAAAAAAGAAGACACTACTACTTTTCTAGTCTGAATCTCTTGAAACTCAGATAATTTGACCAGAATACATTCAGAAAGCCTGCTGTGCAGACCTGGTACTTAAATAGGCAAATGACTGTCTTTTAACGCTGTCAGTGCAAAGCTATCTTAAAACCACTTTAACAAGAAGCATGAAAGATTAAACCTTAATTTTACTCTTTTCTAACTTAAAAACATAGCAGAGAGGAAACTCATTTTTTAACCAATGTGAAAATAATTACTGAAAATAGTTTTTATAAGAAACCAATCTCCTAGGTTCTGAGAGGAAGCAAGTTTCCTAGGCATGATCACCTCAGGTGACTAGACCGGCTTCTTTTTGGGGAATGTTGCCTTGTTAGTTGAATGAGATTCGTTCTGGGTCTTGTTTAAAACACATGTATGAAAAGACCAATGTGAACATTAGGCAAAGACATTCTTTTGTATAATACTAAAAAGATCTACTTCTGCATTCTAATAGAGCCATGGAATAGTAATATGTGTGCACATTCCTACCACTCTCCCTGTATTTACTGAATTGGGAATAGTTAACCACCACAAAAAAAGGCCAGGTGATTTCCATGCTACCAGATTACTTTTCAAGACACACACACACGCAGCAGCAACAGCAGCAGCAGCATAAGTCTAATCATCTGCAGCCTCTGTGTGACCCTTCTAGAACTCCCCAGGTTATAGTGGCCCCTGTGCTGTGCCCAGGCCCTATTTAGGGGGTTTTTGCTTGCTTACCTTGTTCCCACACTTGTTCAGAATGCTCTGCCGGCCGCTGAGAAAACCATCTCTGCTCATGGAGCCTGCTAAGGCCGCCTCATTTTTTTCACAAAAGACTTGAGTTCACCAGGAGCACACTCTGGAGCTGCCTGCTTCTGTCATTCTAGTAGGGACATAAACCAGGTCAACATACTGTTTACCAGCCAGGAAAAATCAGAAGCTTGAGCAATTGTGTCTTTCTTATTTATGTTCCACAAATAATACAAAGTACATGCTCATAAAACATATCATGAAGAAAATATATTCTTTTAGTTTGCTAGCTTGTTGAAACTTCTTAAGTTCCATCATGGATAAAGGAGTCAAAATAGAAGAATTATACAAAGGATCGTCAACCCTTTGCAGAGAATCTTATGTCCTCAAATGAATTCCCTAATTGTAACTGCCTATCAGATAGGAGTGGGGCCAGAAACGCCTGGATTTGGAAATCCACTTAGATTTAGGTGTATTGAATAACCAAGGAAAGGTAACACTTAAGATTTGTTTTTAAAAATAATGCAAATTTTAATTTCTTAAACCAACTGAACCAGTCATGTTGTGCATAACCACAGAGATACTTTCTGAGAAAGGTGTCCTCGAGTGATTTCATCCTTATGTGAAGATCACAACAGGGTACAGTCACACAAACCTAAACATTGCAAGGCTGTGTGCCATAGTTACCGGGACCTCCATGGGTTGCATGACAGGTCCTTGACCAAAACGTCAAGTGATGCATGACTGGACAGTAACAGATCTATCAGTTGGAGACAAGGAGAGGATTTTGAAAGTCTTGATTTTAAGTGACCAGAGATTTATGTTTGCTCTCAAACCCCTAAGATTTTCTAGAATTTTGTTAAATCTAAACAAAAAACTTTGGTCATGTGAAGCATACAGACTTTGAGCCTGCACACAGTTATCTTCTGTTCTGGTATTTTTCAAGCCCACCCTCTAGTGACAGTCTAGTGGGAGAACAGGGGCCATTCAAGGCCGTGTGGGCATGCAGCTTGAATACGTGAAAATTCATGAACAACCCTAGTGCTAAACTTCTTGTTTTACAATTTTATATTGCTGCCCTTAAGAAGATTAACTAATTGCAGTTTTCTTTTTGTCCTTTTGCATCTCTGTTTGCTGCTTTCTGTCTCTCTCTGTCTCTTTCACATCAGTCACCTGGGCTTGGCACTGACTCATGTCCCCTGTCCTCCCCATCAGCTCATTGTGTCCCTGCATCTCCCACAGAGCTCCGTCGGAGGTGTAAGGAGAATACCCACCAGCCATTGGGGTGCGAGCCGGTCAGAGACCCCGTGCACACACACGGAGAGCTCGCCCTGGACTCTGAGGGCAAAGGGAAACCTTACCTAGGGGACCAAGATGTGGCTTTTAGCTACAAACAGAAAACTGGCAAAGGCGCTACCCTGTTTTCTTTCTCCTTGCAGCTCCCCGAGTCATTCCCTTCTCTTCTAGATGATGACGGGTACCTCTCTTTTCCCAACCTGTCTGAGACCAACCTCCTCCCCCAGAGCCTGCAGCATTACCTCCCGATCCGCTCCCCCTCCCTCGTGCCTTGCTTCCTCTTCATCTTTTTCTTTCTGCTCTCCGCCTCCTTCTCAGTGCCATATGCCCTCACTCTCTCCTTCCCTCTGGCTATGTGCCTCTGCTACCTGGAGCCCAAGGCGGCCTCCTTGAGTGCCTCACTAGACAATGACCCGAGTGACAGTTCAGAGGAAGAGGTGTGTACCTCGGCATAGAGCACACTTCCCGTTGTGTTTGGGGCTTCGGTCCGAAACAGTGTTAGATGGCTGCGACCATAGTGGCCTGACTTTCAGAGCCTCATTTATTGTCTGTGCCGACATGTGCAGGGGTTGTTGTGTGTTGGGGAGTACAACCCGGCCCCAGGGTTAGGCACAACACCATGTGGATGTAGCAGTCTGAGCCCAGCTCAGAAGCATCTGCTACCCACTGACTGACAAGGGTGGTGAAGGACTCAGCCAGAAGTCAATTGCAAATATCACACTAACTATGTAAAATCGCAGAATTAAAGTTGAAGTTATCATTTAATGAAACAAATTACATCTGAGACCAATAAACAACTTTTTGCCTAGATTTTTAAAATATTACCAAAATGTATCCCAACATAACAACACATCTCATCGTGGTGACAGGCTTCTAGAGAAATGGAAGTCCAGGAGTGATGGGAAAGAGCATCACCATAGGGGATGTGCCGTCCCCGCCCCACACTGGGATTCTGAAATGCCACACCACCTCTTTGATTGTCACTATCACGCCATAGTAGTTGCTACGGAAGATGAAGCATGTCGCACGGTTGTCGAGACAGGAAGAATATTTGAACAGCTCATACTGCTTGACATTCATCATTGATAGTGCCAGAAACAGCACCCGAAACAACAGCAGTTTTCAAAACAAAAGCAGGGAAAGGCTCACTTGAGGCTTCTATATGTAGTAAAATAGGTAGAAATGTTACCAGTGGGAGCAGTGCTAACACAAACATAGGTGCTGGAGCTGTTTTAGCTCCACCATGAGCTGAAATGTCCACATGCATCTGGACAGTGTGGGCATCAAGTTGGATGGGCCTCTGGGGCTCTCAGCCAGGAGCATGCTTCATGGAGAAAGGACTAGAGCCTTCAGCGTCCGCCCCTGAAGGCCTGCAGCCTGTCAGCCCCTGTCCCTCCTCCAAGCCATTGGGTGAGTTGATGTTGTAGGCAGTAGATTCTCCTCTTAATTGCTCTCTTTACCCACCACTCCAAAGCTGTATGAAAAACCTGGCAGTTTCTCTTTCTATGAGCTTCAAATAGAATTTGGCAAAAAAAGAAGGAACAGAAGCTACCAACAGAGGTGCCTGCCTGTCACCTACCCACCTGCCCACACCTCCTGCAGTCCTCGCTAGCTCTTCTGTTCCTGCAAAACAATGGGCTTTGTGGCAGGAGATAAGCCCAGTACCCCTAACATTAAAAAAACACATCACAGTCAAAGCAACTCTAAAAAGGACAGAAAGTCTATTCAGTGCTGTGCTCAGCTAGAAATCATAATTTTGGCTGCACCTGTGAGTGTATAAAACTGTGAGGGTGTATCTATATTTAGTGATATTATGACCATCTCTTTGCAGCAGCAGAAATAAAAGGGAATGGTTTCACAGATGTTTTAAATAAAAGTGCATACTTTGCAGAAGAACCCTTTTAAGGATCTTGGATAATATATGACTTAGCTCCAACACTCTATATATAAGTAATATTCATATATGGAAGATATTTTCTAACTACTTTGTAAATCCTAGGCTCTTATAGCACTATTTCTCAATAGTGGCTATATTATAAAATAATGTAGGAGTAGAGCATGACAAGAACACCATGTTGTCTACAAGACGATCATATAACTGAGTACCACACTGGACATATATTTTTCCTTTTACAACAGAGTTAGTCATCAGGCTAACATACAGCAAAATGATTGTCATTTTATGCTTTTCTGAATTCTAAATAACTGAACTTTAGCAAACCACACAGATCTTGTGCCTAATCCAGGGTATACATCTTGTTGTAATCAGTGCATGAGAATTAATGTCAAACTTGGGCATGTCTGCATTACATCAGCAAAACAAATCACAGCAGTTATCTGTTGCAAGCTAGTGAATGTGAGACTGAGCTCCCAGTAGTAACTCCTTGTTATTGTAAACCTCCAAGACAGAGAACTAGCATCGGCCCTCGGTGCCTTAACTTCCTCTGCAGCCTCGGTCAGCCTCATGGCTCTCCTGCCACAGACTTAATACAAGGCCATCTGTTCATTGTTGTCTCTTAATGCCAAATGTTAAGAGCTGTGCACTCCAGTCCAAACTGAGCTAGAAAATTCATATGTAGGTCATTCTTTTTTTTTAAGTTTTATTTGGTTACATGGCCTGTTTTTTATTCTTTAGGCTATAAGCACTTGGCAGTTAAACTGCATACAGTTCAGCTCTGTGACTTGTTTACCCAAATCACTAATGCTGATTCTTTTAAAATACTTTATCAACACCGGTTACATTTTTCATGTGTTGTAGTGACTTAATTTAGTTTCAACCTTTCTCAGAAGTAAAACCCAATGAAGAAAGTTTAATCCTTTCAAATAAAGCTAATGGTCAGTTATTTTTTGACTTTGTACTTTCAAATGGGCAGTTAAAGAAGGAGCAGGATATTAAATCACCTATCAAAAAACATAAGATGAACTTAATTCACCATACCATAGAATATAATTACATTTTGATAATGCCATAAAAAGGAGATTGATTGAAATTTGGAGAAAAAAAATGATCACCTAATTTTAGTATTTTAAATTTTTACCTAATAAGCATAGTCTGTAATATACTATACATTTTTTGGTGTTGTTCATAGTATTTTTCATACATACCTGGTATAAAAGCTGCTTTATCCAGCCTTTATTCATTTATTAACAATTTATTTAGCAGATAAATAGTTGAATGACTGAATAGATTCTAAGAAGAATTTGAAGAGGTTAACGTGATCTAAGCTATTTGCTTGTGTATATTTTCCTTTTAGTAAGGAAAAAATAGTATTACTTAATTTATAATATTATATTTATATTAATATTAATATATTATAATTACTGTAGGCTTTTTCTTTTTTTTTTTTTTTTTTTTAGCTCTGATTGCATCAAGTATTGTGCTAAACACTTAGTTTCTATTTCCTGATCTGTTTAGGGCTGTTTTCCCATTTTACAAGAAGGCAATTCAGATTAATATATGAAAATTGCCCAATGTGTCACAGGTTTGAGTAGCAAGGATTGCCCACGTTAGACACCAGACCTCTCTCTCATAACCATGACTGTAATATAATGCCAAGTCATTTGGTAAAGCTCTAAGGAAAATTTTCCATAAAAGACAAATGCTTTTAAGAATCTTCAAAGTCTTTTACACAATTTGTTGTTAACACACTGAGTGTACACTGTAATGAATACAAGCCATTTTTATTTGTTCTTGCAAGCCAAAGATTTCTTTGAGTTATTTTATACATTTGAACAATAACTGTCTTTCCCTAATTCAAACTGGCTTTTCCCTAAGCTGTCTGTCAGTGAGGCCATGCTAACACCAAAGCCACCATCACCCTTAAAAGAAAGTTAATAACTACACACCCCAAAGTGTTGCCAGGTGATCAGGTTATGAAAATATATTAGAACTCTTGCTTTATCCACCTACTACAGATTATCTTCCACTTAAGCATAGGAGCAAGATGGCCAGAGTTGTGACACAGGTACATGTGCCAAGCTGAATTTCAGCTCCCATTCTTGTCAGAATGTCTAAAACCAAAATCTGGGATAGCTCCAGGAAGTCAGCCTAGCCAGAGATATGCCACATAAACAATGTTGTCCTCATTGTCCCTTCTTGACAGCCCTTGTTCTTTGGAATGAGAGATTATTTAAAGAGGCCGATAGATCACCTGAAAGCACCTTGTTTTGATTTTTGTGTTCAAAATATTAATCATATCTTTGCTCGAGGAAGTTTTAGTAACATTCGTTTTATTATTTGTGGAGAGAAAGTCAGATGACTCAGTTGCTATAGCTGTACTCTCCAGAGAAAGTGCTTTGGTTTTAAATCATAATCTCCTATGGAATAGATTAAAAACCAGCCCTGAAATTATTATTGTAATTCTCCCACCTCCGTAAAACCTAGGCTCTGTCAAATGCTGTGCTTTGTTTTATGTTTTTCCAAGTAGCTGTCTCTCTCTCTCTTTTTAAATTATTATTATTTGCTTTACTGGAATGGTTTTTTTGTTTGTTTTTGGAATGAAACATTTCAATACATACTCTCATATACTTCTTTATTTTGGATGGTGGGGCAAAATTAACACAACTTATAGTCTTGAAAAATATCTAGTTAGCAATTCTACTTACTTGAAATTTGGGTTACATTTTTTCACATATAAAACATGTGCCTATGAATATGAATCACTGGCATGTACTTTGTATAGTTAATAGGTAATGCAGACAGCCCGATGGTCCTAAATGGATGTAAATTATCAAAATGGTATAAATGAGGGACTGAAAGTCCAGTGACTGTTAAAGTGGCTTTTTATTTAAATTGACATTTTAATTTACCACTCATTTACTAGGATTTAAAAAAAAAAGGTATGAACATCAATTTTATTGCATTAAACATTTGTAGGACTTTCTCGGGGTTTAGTTGAAAAGGGGAGGGAGGAGGGCAAATTGGTCTTCCCGTGACAAGAAACCAAACAGGTCAGCTCAGCTAATTCAGATCCTGCCCTTCTGCAGGCTCTGTGCCTCTGGTCTCCCTCTGTGTGGCTCTGCTGATGAAACCTAGCCCTGGCCTTTCTTTTGCTTTTGCTTGAAACTGCATTTTTGTGGGAAAGTAGTATGATACAGATCAGAAAGAAAGAATGAAATGCTTGGCCTGTGCCATGCCCTATTTGACCAGATGGATTTGTTTTCTATTCCTGCCTTCCTTCCGGAACCTGATCACTTCTGTGATCTCTAGACCGACAGTGAGCGGACAGACACTGCAGCTGACGGGGAAACCACCGCCACTGAGGTTGGTATATTCATGGAGAGCGGCGGGCGCTTGCCCACGAAATTGCCTTGTAACGTGACTGCTTTATGGAACTCTGCATATTAGATTTAGAATGCAGGTGAATGCTAACTTCTACAGTATGAGTGAGCTAAGTTCTATTGGTTGTTCAGACCCTGGCCTGTGTCAGAATCATGCGGAGGGACCCATCTTCATGTTTTTGTTTTTGTTTTTGTTTTTGTTTCATTTACAAGAAGGTCTCGGATGGAATTCCACTAGTTCCCAGACTTTGCTGGGAATTTTGGTATCACATATGGGGAACCACTTGGCTAAACTGATATTGTTTTCAAGAAGCAGTTTCCTACCCCCAAATGAGAGGGTCTTTGTGTGTGTGCTAGTTAGGATAAGTTGAGGAGAGTCACAGTTATATTAACTTATTGACTGGGTGCAGATATATTTTTCAACCCCAAATAGTCAGATAACACTTGTTAAAATAATACTTACCTTAATTCATTTTGTAGGCTGCAATGTAGGCCACTCAAAAATCTCTACCAGTAACTAATTAAAATTTCTATGAAAATATTACTTATCTATGCTAATGAAAAGCAAGGTGTTTGCTTCCTAAAGCACTAGCTCAATTTAGGTTTTACACTGTGGTGATGTTTACTTTTTAGGTTTTTTTACATCATCCAATAAAAGCAGTACTTTGTAGTTGGGTTTTAAAAAAAATAACTAAAAATGTTTTAAAGAGTACCTATACATCACCTACCTGAAAATTTCACATTTCAAGGTGGAGTTTTATGAAGTTCCCTCTTTAGGATATGTCAGAATTCAATTTACAGCTCAGAAGTCACAAAGTTAAAAGAAATTCTATAGTATTCCACACTATTTTAAACAATCATGTAAATTTAAATTAATAATTTTCTCTGCCCAGTAGAACAGAATTGCATCTTGATTTTATCAAAATTATATTTAGCTGCATGTTAGTGCATTTTATAAAATTTTACTATAATCCTAATGTGTGCTATAAGTGAAAAATAGTTTAATAAAGTCTAAAACTTCTGTAACAGCTTTAAAATGTATTATATAATATTTGAAGCCTGCAAACAAATGCATGCGATATAGGTACATTGCGAAGCCTAAAAATAAAAATGAAGAGCTGCAAACCATCACATACTTAAGAATTAGCATGTCACCAGCACTGTGTCAGTTAGCCATGCCCTCTGATTAAAATACATTCCCTAATCTTCTCTGGAGTCAGCACAAGAGCAGAGTGGCGGGCTGTGCTGGGGAGGGAGTCTGAGCTGAATGGGCACATAAGGAAGCTGAGGACCACAGATTGGTTCCTTGAAGTTATTTACTTGCTCAGATGTGCCCTCTTCTCTGGCCTTCCTCTTGTTCGCACAGGGCATAAGGCACCAGCCAGGGGCAGAGCCCACAGGCATTCATGCAGCTCTACTACTATATGTATACGTGTGGCTTGGCCATTGTTATTAATTAGCTATTGATACTCAAAACCCAGTCCAAAGTGAGAAAAATAAGGATAAGCAAGTGACTTTTAGATAAATTTATTATATTTTTTTAGAAACTCCAAAATTATCCTGTCTATAGTTTGAAGAAATGATAGAAATTTTTATATTTTTTGATGTCCTTGCTTCATTTCAGCCTTTTCCCCTCCCAGATTTGTTTTTAAGAATATGGGTTTGAGATGGAAAAAGGCACAAAATGATGCAAAAATAAACTTTTATATTTTTTTTAACAATCAAAAAAAAAGAACATGCTTTGTCTGAGGCCATCAGTGATGAAATTCCACTAGTTTTTGGATGTCTCCCTCTGGTTGACATTTGGCTTTATTGGTATAGCATAATGTCTTGAACATGTGCATATTTAATAAATACTTAGATTTAATTTTCTTAAAAAAGAATATGGGTTCAAAAAATTTAAAGATGTTAAATTTTTGGAGTTTCCATTCTCTGGTCTAGATCAATGGTAAGATTATTGTAAAGATTCATACACCACAAGGAACTCTCATGACTGGATAATCATGTCCATTTAATTAAATATGGATGCCCACATTTCTTAACCATTTGCACTGTTCATCAAGGAAAGCCTGCCGAGCCCTTCCTGTCACCTCCCAAAAGTGCTTATGTGAACATGTCACACTTGGAAGACCCCTGGCTAAAGAGCCAATGAGCAAGAACCTTTTGTTCCTGTCTTTGTACTAAGCTTCATCATCATCATTGGCATGTGAGGAGATTGTGGATTTGACAGAGGATATAGGTGTCATCGGTATGCAGGAACAAATGTGTGCTCTCACTTAGCAATCTTATGTTCATCCTAATCCTTCCATCTTAGAGTCAATTGCATGGTAAGACTTTATTTCCCACTCTCTCTTGATGCTGGCAGTCGGACCAGGAGGAAGATGCAGAGCTCAAGGCACAGGTAGAAAATTAAAACTAAACTAAAACAAAACCCAGTGTGTGATAAGTCATTGTGTGTCTCTGGTGTTCAGATCTTCCAGCATGCTCTGTAGCCAGTGCCGTGGTGTCGGTGCAGTGTAGACAATGGCATTGTTCTGTGACTACCATGTCCTTTACCTTTACCTTTCTTTTCCACTTTTTTCAGAATAGTCTGATTAAGCGAATAAAGGGTGAAAATGTGTATGTCAAACATAGTAATCTTATGTTAGAGGTTGGTATTGGTATATACCAGTGCATGTTCGTGTGTGTTGATTTCTTTTTAGTGCCTTACCTGTGGGCTCGAACCGTGATGCATGAACTGTGTGTTCCAGCTATGATACATGGATGACTTCTCAGCTTACTTTGACTCCTTACATTTGCCTAGCTATAGATTCCCTTTTCTGAGTGTGCTTTTATTTCAATTCTCTTTGGTTATGTGTCAATTATACTCTTTACACTTTACCTTCTAAAGCTCCTTTGATTTCCCTGCTTGCTTGAACTTGATATTTTACCTCTCTTTTTCTTGAAAGATCACATTTTCACCAGAGTGTTTGTGATTGTGTCATGAGTTTTGATCAAAGTTCTTTTCCTTTGACTACTAAAAAAATAGATAACTTTACTTTAAAAGAAAGAGCAGAATAGGAAACATGTAAAATGTTGACTATTGGATTCTTTATGTTCTGACTATAGGAGCTAGATAAAACTCAAGATGACCTGATGAAACATCAAACCAACATTAGTGAGCTGAAAAGAACCTTTTTAGAAACCTCCACAGACACTGCCATCACGAATGAATGGGAAAAGAGGCTTTCTACCTCCCCGGTGCGGCTAGCTGCCAGGCAGGAGGACGCGCCTATGATTGAGCCACTTGTACCTGAAGAGGTCGGTATTCAGGCTGCAGATTGCATTGTCTTCTCTCCATTAGCCTAACTGCTCTGCAGAGTCTGGAACCGGAGAAGGATTTTGTAAACTTCTGAGCAGAGACTCGCATCCCTTGTCCCCATAACCTAAACTAACATGCTTAATGCTCCAAAGAAAAGCTGCTGACTAAAACAATTAAATAGCTAACTAATCGCATTAGATGTGGCTTACAATGACAAGGAGGCCCGGGGAGGCTATTGTGCAGACTAGCTGATACCTAGATTTTATAGCTAGGAGAAAGTGAGATAATATGTTAATGAACTGACATTTTTGCTGAATATACTTTCTGCTTCTACGTGAAGGAATGCCCTGAAAACCCATGAATGTTTGTCATAAACTGCAAGATGCAGCTTGAGGTTGACTAATTGGTGATCTCTAGTTAACAGCATTTAGATACATTTTTCTGTGAAAACACTACACCCAGATTTTACTGGTATAATCAGTGTTTTATTTATAACTAATTATTTAAATTTATAACTGCTTATTTTAACTGATTTATAAACAGTTTTATGACTTTTAATAGGGAAAGTAGAGAGCAAAATATCTTTTCTAAGTATTAGTCATGTAAGAAAGTTCTATTTCAAAATACCCCCAGAAAGAGGATTCAGCTGGTGGTGCTAATCTGTCAGCTATTAGATACCATCTCACTTCATCTCTCTTTCAAAAGTAGTAATACTTTAACATTTTGTTTGTCTAGTATCATATTATTTAACTTTTTTTTCTTGTCCATAGCCCTTTATTATGTGATATTTGTCCAGGAAGCTCAGACAGAACAGGAAAAAAAACTTGAAAATCTAGTCCTTATGGGAGAAAAATCCTTCAGAGAGTAATTTCTGTAAAACATAGAAGTCCTTGCAGTGCAAGTAGAATAGAATTGCACGCATTCTGATCTTTTTCTAGTCTTCCTTAGAAAGCTGTTTATCAAAACTGATCACAATTATTATGTTCATGACAATTCCAATTCCAGCTAAAAAGGTATATATTCATTTGAGTTACTTTGAAAACAGTCTTTATTTCAAAGTAAAAAGAAAAGTACTATTACGAAAGGATTCCTACATCATGAAACATCAGTTTCAATTAGCTCCCTTGAGCTCCCAGAGACAAAAGTTTTACATTCAGATGATTTCAATGATTTGCATTTTAACAGTAAACTGGCACCTGAGTCTACTATGTCAATTACATCCCAGTTTTAAAAAGTACATCCTGCTGCTCCCCTCAGCAGTGTACTCCGTCAATCTGCCTGTTCTGCTCCCAACTCTGTCTCTGGTGAGTCCTCTCACCGCCCCTGCACCTCTGCTGTACCTCAGTTTCTATGCATAAGTAAATAAGTCTTTTTAAAAATCAAATTTAAAAATGCTTTAAAAAAATACAACTTGTCAGTTATGACCATATTAAGCTTTATTGTATTTGGTCAAGTTCGGTTTGTCCTTCAAGTTCGGTTCCACCATCTGCTAGGAAAAAATAAGAGCGTGCTGCTCTGAGGATTTCAGACATTGCATTAAGTTATAAATTAACCAGCCCCAGCAAAAAGCCACAACTCTCCTCCCATGCTGTTATTAGGAAAGTGATTGGTAGTAGCCACTTTGAATGGGAGGTTTAGGTAAGTAACTTAAAGAAGTAAGTGGTGACTCTAATAATCAATAAACTTTAAAGTCTAAGCCATTAGATTAGTGAAAAGAAAGATTTTTTTCACCTCCTATTAAATCTTCTTTGATTTGATGAAGGCAAAAACATTGATAACTTGAAGAGGTGATACCTTAAATATACCAAAAGTTTCCTGTATCTTAATGCCCTTTCTGTGTCACTGTAGAGAAGATGCAGTGAGCCCACGAAAGGATTTTTAAAATGACTTAAGGATGGAAAAGGCATTCATAGTGAGCAAAACAGCTTGGTTTTTTAGGCCGGTGAAAATCAAAGCTGCATTCAAGGTCTGCTGAGTTGTTAAGCAGAGACTGAAACTTGGGGCTCCCTCTCCACCATAAAAAAAAAAAAAAAAAAAAAAAAAAAAAAAAAAGGGAAGTCGCAGAAAGAGCTTGGCTAAATATAAAAAAAAGACTTTAGAAACAAAACTGAATGACCCTGGCTACCCAAGAAGCCTGCATAAGAGGTTTCAAGTCCCAGGAGAAGAGAGACCCCTTGGGGCATCAGGACCCTGCCAGCTCCATTCAGCCTCTGGCTAGGCAGGGTGACCTCGGGGCTCCTCCCCACCCTTTTACAGGACCTTTGAGGACATCCAAATTTATACTCCACTTGAGAGCCCTGGAGATAGTCCAAAACAACCCAGAAAATTCTTAAGCTTTTTAGTTTTTGCCAATTTATCTAAATAAGACTTTTGATATTTGTTTTGTGAAAAGCACAGACAGCAATTTTATCACCTCATCTAGATTTATACAAAGCATAGAGTGTGGTTAGCCAAAAGATTTTAATTTTGTAGAAGTATTTTTGAAAATCAGTTTCTAAGTTGATATCATCCTAGTACTTAATATGGCCCATCTTAAATTAATTGAGCCATAACTAAACACTTTAGAAAGATACCTATATGAAAAAATAAAATATTTAATTTTAAAGATGATCATATTAATATTGTTCCTTTAAGAATGGTGAGGGAACTTAACTTTGGTGTCCAAGCTTATGATCCCAAGCTTAGATAGATTACTTTAAATCATAGTAATAAAACAATGTTTTTTTCAAATCTAGTTGAAAATTGTCCTCTGGTTTTTAATATGAGACTATTATTTATTTATATATGGCAATTTAATCCTAAATAAATATTTTTCTATAAAATGCTACCAATTTAGGAAAAGCTAGAAGAATGGTTAGGAGTTAGAAATATATAAAATGAGCTAATATAATGATTATATTCTAAGAATATAATGTATGTTTATTTTAAAATGGAAATTTAAAATTTCAGATATTTTGAGTAAATAGCAGGCAGTAGCAAGAATGCCCCAAAGCCATAAATAATATCAAATCCTCACTAATAGACAAGCCCACATAAAAGGCCCAGAAGATAAAGGGAGGGTAGATATATAATATGTGAAGGGCTCCCAGTGTCTTCTGTGCACAGATATTTCCCTTGAGGTATTTTTTAATGATGTACCTAGGTCTAGTTCATATTTGAGGAAAATGTGTAATCCCTACCAGAATGAAGTACCATTAATCTTACATGTTGCCAATATTGTCCTCTTTTTAATGCCTTGGTAGGTGTATAGGTATGTAACTCAGTACAGTAGGTACTCATTATTTATAGATTCCATATCTGCAAATTCACTGACTCCACAATTTATTTGAAACCCTAAAATCAATATTCATAGCACTTTCATAGACAGGTGCAGAGTGGTGAAAATTTGAATGACTCAGTGAAAATGTACTTTCCCAGCTGAGATCTAGCAAAGAGGCATTGTGCCTTTTTATTTATCTCCAGCTCTTGCACTGAAAACAGATGTCCTTTTTATGATCTATTTAGTGTCAGGTTTATGTGTGTTTGTTGTAGATTTTTCTGCTTAAAACGACCCCTAGCTGTGGTGCCAACACATTGTCTAGCATTTCTAATCACACAGTCCTAAGACTGAGCCTCACTGGAAAATATGAGTGTTAGACGAACTTTATTCACAAGTGAGTTATAAAGCTGTTGGCTGTTGTGAGGTCAATATTAAGGAATCAAAAATATATACTTAATAAGGACTCTTTACAGAGCCCTTATTAAGTATATATTTAAAACAAGTATATATTTTAAAACAAGGTTAAATATTGATCAGTCGTTGAGAATTTCAGTACCAGTGGCTCTTTACAGAGCCCTTATTAAGTATATATTTAAAACAAGTATACATTTTAAAACAAGGTTAAATATTGATCAGTCATTGAGAATTTCAGTACCAGTGGCTTGCTGGCTGGCCTGGCATATCTCCTCGGAGTGTTGTTTCAGTAATCATTCATTCATTTTCACGATGACTTATAGGACAGAACTTCCGTGGCTAACTAGAATGGACTGTTTGCATTTGTCTGCTTTCAGATCCAGCTCTTCTTTTCCTAATCAGGCCTTAGCTGGGCCTCAACTTGGGCCAAAACTCTATTTATTGAAAGGAGGATTTTCTCCCTCTCTAAAACTGAATTCTGTGACATGGCCATCCATGCTACTGTAGGTGCATGTGAAAGTCATTTAAAGGAAAGTGTCAACATATTGATGCTTGGGTTGTACATCAGAGTCCGATTTATTTAGTCTGGGTCATACCTCACCCATTACTGTTATCTCAAAGTTCTTCATGTAATTCTAATGCAGAACCCAGCTTGAGATTCCCTGGCCCAGGCAAAAATTAAGGCCACACTTCTGGAGATACCCTTAATCAGAATGAGTGCCATGCTGTGAATTTTGCTTTCCAAAAGGGCTTTGTTTCAGTTACGATAGAGAGATGAATGTTTACTTATCTAAAGAAGATGGTTGAGGTGTATATATTATATTAAGGAATCAAAAATATATACTTAATAAGGGCTCTCATACTTAATGAGAACCTCATATAAAACAAGGTTAAATATTGATCAGTCATTGAGAAGGTAACTAAGGAATTACCTCCTGAAGAATGCCTGTTTCATACTAAAGACAACAGAAAAAAGTAACTAAAAAGAAAAATCTCATTTGTGACATAGCATATTTAATAGTTCTTAAAGAAGATGGTTGAGGTGTATATTTGACAATATTCTAAGCCACAGTAAATGTCATTGTTTCTGTTATCACTTTTCTTTATCAGAACCTCTTCACTTCTCTTTAGCAGAACTGACTGGATCGAGGTTGACCATATTTAGAATTCAGTTTTAACATCTGGCCCCTAATGTTACCTTTTTCTGTTACTGGCCATGAATCTGCTGAATGCAGACGGTGACATATTCATTACATTTACTACAAATGTCATTTTACAGACATTTTTTAAAGTAGTTGATTTAAGATAACAGAATAAGCTGAAACTATTATTTTCATTTTAGGAATAATATTTATTTAGGAATTATAATTAGAGACCTTAGCAGTGTTATACTGAAAAATGCCTGCAATTTGGACCTATCTAGCCTATGTTTTACTCACCATTGATAAATTGATCATCTATTTATGAAATGATAAAGAGATTATAGTTGAAGTTTTTTTCTAAGGAAAGAAAAAAATTCACTTTTAATGATCACATCATACATTTTATCTTTTCTATTCCAAAATAGGGCAGAATCAGGATTTTTTTCCCCTTTTAAAAAATATCTTATTTATCTTCATTAAGAAGCAGCCTATGAGAATGATGCTATCAAAATCTGTCAGTAAGTCCTTCAGGAGAATATTCCAGATGTTCCCCTAAAACCTCTAGGCACACAAATAATTAAATGTCATTCTGATAGATTTTAAATAGCTCATAAAATTATATAGTTTACAACAATAGGGTTTCCTTTTAAGGCTACATTCTTCTAGCAACTGAATTTTCTGTTATTTTTAGATTACTTTTCCAAAGTAAATGTCTATGCCTGGTCTATGGAGTCCTGCACTATGTGCAAACACAGCTACTGTAACTAAGGAATTACCTCCTGAAGTATGCCTGTTTCATACTAAAGACAACAGAAAAAAGTAACTAAAAAGAAAAATCTCATTTGTGACATAGCATATTTAATAGTTCTTAATTTTATATGTTAAAGAAAAGCTTGGCTTGAAATACTTAATTTTTCACCAATAAATTTTGAAATTGACTTAAACATTATTCACCATGTTATAAAAGTCACATAAAGCCGTAACCTTGAACAATAAAGAAGTCTATAGATATAATTTGGATGTATGAGAAGTGGTAGGTAATAACCCACCTGCATTTTCATAAAATCAATTATTTATCAGAAATAGAAGTGAGGATTTATTCTTAATGCATTATTATTCTCTTATCTGAATATATTATTTTAAAATCCACTATTATAGTGTCGTAGATGACTGGTATATACACATTCATAAGCCAAGAAACTTTCACATGTCCTGTTTGGAGAAACAAAAATATTTGAGTCATGTGAACACCAGAGTTTCAGGGGAAAATTCTGTTACTCTTTGGAAATAATGATTAAACTTTGAGATGACTTCAGATCATTTATTCAATTCAAAAACAAGAATTTACTTCTTGAAAAAAATGACTACTATAAGTATATGTGTAATATAACAAAAGAACTCTCATCCTAACTTGCCTTTTTGGAAACTGTCTACTTCCTCTTCTCCAACCCATCCCCCCCTTTATTCAAACAGACCAAAGAAGAAAGAGAGATTTCTGAAAAGGTTATAGTTTTGCAGCAAGGAAGCTCTCCATTGCTTGAGTCTCAGGTAAAAAACAAATATAGAGGAATTTTCCAAAGAGAATACTCTTCAGATTTTAGTGTCATTAAAATGTGTTTAGCTTTTATTTTCTCTTAAAACTTACCTTGTTTAAAATTAAGGTAGGTATACCATTTTTGCTTAGATTCTGGGAAGGGGGAAAGGAATTTATTACTATTTTCATTACTATTTACTATTTCTGCTATTATACTATTCCATATTTCTGTCGAGCCCCTTGCTCCTCAGTGATTGTGTCTGTGTGTTGTCATTGCAGCATTGTGATTCTCTATCTAATAATATTGCTGGGACTCTTTACTGCCTGTTTTTCCTTATAGAGTGGGTACTAACTTAGATGATCTTGATTGGTTGTGAAAGTTCTGAACTTTTGTTGGTTTTCCTACTAGCCGAGTATCATAAAGAGAATGCAGGAAGGAGACTCTGCGGGCTCTGATGTTCTCTCTCATCAAATAATTTTCCAGAAAACTGTCCCATCGACCTTAGAGGTTAATTTTCCATTATTTTCATCTAACCCGGAACCAGCATGTAGAATAATGTGTAATTTTATTTCTCATACTTATAGGTTCAAGTTTTCAGGCTACAGTAAATATGAAAGTAGAAAACATTCTAGTTTAAAATGTGAACCAAGGTGTTCATTTGATTTAGTATTTCTTCCTGCTGTAACCTATTAAATAGTCAACTGCCTGGCCATATTCAGTTAGATTTCCCAAATACAAAGATGTCTGAAGTTTAATTTCTTCTGCCTTGTGGCAACCAACACTAAAGAAAGTGACAAGGAAACTCCTGAGACAACGATCTTCTATTATAAAAGAGACTGGAACACTGTAGAGACCATTATGCCCTATTCATAAGAAGCTCCAACAAATCCCCACCATGGGGAATATTTCATTACAATGCCTTGAAAGAGATATACTCAATATTTATTGGATGGTAAGAGGTATAGTGGATTAGGTCTCCTGTGCTACAAAAATATAATTTACAAACATTAAAATGATATTCACAAGACTTGTGGGGTGCTAGCAAATTCTTTGTGAGAACAGCAGATATGAAGTATTAAGCATGTCTCTTGTGTCCACACAAGGAACACTAGATAACTTGGCCAACTTAAATAATATTTAAACTTGAACTTTAAAATGGTCAAATGTTTATCGAATCTTTTGCCTGTGAAATTTACCATCAAAGTATTTTCCAGTTTAAAGAAATCTGGAATTGAAGTTCTGCATGCAGACAGTTTTCCAAATGCAAATCTAGAGTTCGTACATTTCAGATAACAGGTTGCAGTCTTGACATTTAGATAGGCATCCAATCCTTGTCCATTTATCTCATGGACCTGGGTGGAGCCTTGATTTTCTTAAAGGATTCTTATTTTAGAATAAGATACCATTAGAATTTCTAATTTAGCTTTTATATTTTAAATATAGGGCACAGAGGATTGGGTTATTGTAGACAAAATACCCACTGAGGTAGTTGATGGTGATTCGAAAAAGATTGTGACTTACAAGGTGGTGACCATGAGCAGTAGAACTGGTGACATCCCCACCGACCTGCTAAGTTCTGAGGCCATTGAAATGCAGAGCTTTGATGACTTGACCCGAGAAATGCAATTGAAGGAAGAAAACAAACACAAAATATACACTGTAGGAAGATCCTATGATACCGTATCTGGAAAAATTGTTACTATGACTGGAAAAGCCAAAGAGGGGGAGAAGGTAATAGAATCTTCCCCAGTGGACACTTTCCAGAAAATGGAGAGAGGACTGTCGGAACCTGGCAAGTTTATTCCCGTCATGTCAGAGTACGAAGTCCTGGAGGCCATATCTGATGAGAAGGCCAGGAGAGGAGAGGCCCACACTCCCAAGAGGAAGGTGTCGGAATGCCTGGCTCCCATAAAGGAGGCCGAGTCCCGCCGACAGAGTCCAGATGACGACGACCTCAGGAAAGCCCACATGCTGGCCAGGGAGACGACTTTCTTCACAGGCCTGGAGAACCTGCGGTTCAGCAAATCCGAGCACGCACTAGAGAGTGAAGCCTTAAAAGTGGGGCCCTTTGGTCCCAGAAAGAAGAGTCTGTCTGAGTGGAGGTACTCCCAGGACCCGGCCCCCACCGTCGCCACTGCCCATTACGTTTCCGAGTCGTCCACTTCCCGAGTCGTGGTAACCAGTGCCTTTCATTTGGGCCGCCGTTTCCGGTTCCAGCATGACGTTTTTGAAGCAGTGCCCTTTCCACCCCGAGCCTTTCCGTTTCTCTTGCTGTTTGGCTTTATGTTGAGAGCAGCCAGCCCTAGCTTTTTTATTTTGTTCATGGTTCAATCAATACCTCAGGCCAACGTAGGCATTAAAACTTTCAGTTTTATTTCCAGCTCCCCGTTCCTGAGATCTGGTAGTGCTGCTGTGGCTTGCAATGAAGGGGGAAAAAAAATGATCCGCTTAAACCAGCACCGCCCTAACCCTAACAACTCTCTGCTTTAGCAAACAAGAGCTCATGGTCACCTCGATTTGCTATTTTATTTCCCATTCTTTTCTGTTTCCAAAGTCGGTATCTTAGATTCCTCCATCCCTCCTCCCTCTGTCCTCTTCCGCGTCCAGTTATGTCTAACCAACTGTGAATGTGTGTGTTGAATATGTGCCTGTCTCTGTGCTTGACTCTCCATTTCTTTGTTCACTCAGACTAAACAGTCTACTGGTGAAAAACTCATGGATGGCTCTGAAATCTTCAGTTTATTAGAATCTGCGAGAAAACCAACAGAATTCATAGGAGGGGTTACTACTTCTTCTCAAAGCTGGGTTCAGGTGGTCATTTGCTTCCAACCTTAGTGTTCCTACTTGCCTTTCTTTCTCTTTTTTTTTTTTTTTTTTTTTTGCTCTCCGTGTGTTTTGGCTCTTGAGTAGCTTTGCCTTAGATACTTCAAGGTTTTACAATATTTTCTTTAGTGCCTGCTTGGATATATGTGTGTCATATCTCGTTAGTTCCTTTTCAGGAACATACTTCAGATATTCAAAGTGTTTTCTGTTGAGAAATTTGAATAGCATATAATTTACGAAAGCATTTTCTCTCATCTGTTGGATTTAAGACAGAAGCCACAGCCACTGTGAATGTGATACAATGCTTTGGAATTTTGGTTTTGCTTTGTTTTAATTGCGTGTTAGACTGCACTCATTTCTTTTGCGGGTTTGCCAAAGTAGCAGCACAGTTCAAATGTGTGGGTGTGGCCACAGGAATGAAAGCTATTTACTTATTCTCTAAGCATCTCTGCTTATATGTTTTGGGCACTGGCTGTAGATATCCTGGAGCATCGCTTCTTTTTTCCCTTTTGTGTTGTGGTTTTCTTTTTCAAACTTTGGATTATGGACAGTCACACTGACACCACAATCTTCTCCCATACAGAAAATAGAAAGCAAGACGGAAACCAGCAAAATAGAAACCGAAACAAGCCAGCACCCCCAGCCAGTTAGTGAGGAGAAGGTTGTGCAGGAAACTGTGTTGGTGGAAGAGAGGCATGGAACGAATATGCATGCGAGTGGGGACGCTTCTTACGCAGCAGGAGATGACACGGATGCTGCAGCACAGGCAGCGTCAGCTGATGCTTCTAGTGTTAAAGGGAAGGAGGGCGCTGCTCTGACTGATGGGGCTAAGGAGGAAAAAGGGGAGGTGGCCGGCAAAGCTGTACTGAAGCCGGAAGAAATGGCCACTGCATCCCATAAACCAGAGGAGGAGCAGAGTGCAGCAAACCGAGTTTCTGAAACTTTGGAACAAAAGCCTCATTTTGAGGTAACTAGTAGTTAATGTTACATTTAGTGCTGATGTAAAATAGATATACAAGTCCTGGAATCTAGAGAAGTGTAAAGGTGGAGCTAAGTTTGACTCCCCACCTTTTCTTCTCTTACTCCCTTCTTGCACGGCTGCGATGGGTCTCCAGGCTGGTTTCCACTGTGCCATCGCATGCAGATAAATACATGTAATGATTGACAGTGTATAGTTCCAAGAATGGAACTACTGTCACTAGAATCACTGGAATTGGCAATAAACCTGGGGAATGCATGACTGGCCATGCATATAATGTTCACTATGAGAAGACTTGATAAATTTATTTCTGATCAGTGCCCTTATGCAGAAGGACCAAAGGCCATTGCTTATGTAGGCATAAATGCCTAATCTTTAGTCTTCCCCTCTCTTATTGAGATCTCTGAAGGGTACAGGTTATTAATATCTTATTATTTGCTCTTTCTTTTAAGAAGTTATTAAGTAAAAGGCTCACTCATGAGTTTTAATCTGTTAATATTTGTGAATGAGATAAGGAAAAGGGGTATGTAAAAATTGTTATTTCATTTCCTTCAAAATGTTTTCCTTTACCTGAAACAATGCATATAAAATACACTGTGGAATTTGGGAAGACTGTTTAACATATAGTTATTGTGTGCCTCAATCCCCATCTTACCTCCCATGTAATATATAAACATTTGTTTCATACTAACCTCTACTAATATACATATATCTACCAAAAGAGGAGGGGAAAGAGCCGTGTGTGTGTGTGTGTGTGTGTGTGTGTGTGTGTGTGTGTGTGTGTGTGTGACTGTAACGGCCATTCTACTTATTTCCTGCTGGTACAGTCAACAACTGTGAAGACAGAAACCATGAGTTTTGGCACCGTTTCACCAGGAGGAGTAAAGCTAGATATTTCTACCAAGGAACTGCCGGTAGTTCATACAGAAACAAAAACCATCACATATGAATCATCACAGGTAAGAAGAATCCGTCAAGACCAGGGCCCAGGCATTGAAGGCTTACCTCCATTCATGGCAGCGCATAACTACATGACCTTTAACTGTGTGGGGACTCAGAACCCAGCAAACAAACTGTCTTCATTAAGAGTAATGCAATTAATGTAAATTTAAGAGCCTTCCTGAAGTGTTAGGTGACTGAATTAGTTCTTCATATATCTCAAAATGTACCAAAGATACCCAGAAACCTGCCCTCCCTGGTGGAGCAGCGGGTTAAAGCACTGCACTAAGAAGCTTAAGCCACTTCTGCATGAGTTCCATCTCCGCCTGCCCCAGAGGAGATCCACATGGCGCGGCAGACCTCTCCTGACCCACCCACTGCTCCCCTCAGCAGTATACTTTGTCAATCTGCCTGTTCTGCTCCCCACTCTGTCCCTGGTGAATTCTCTCACCCTCTGCATCTCTGGTCTTTACCCCAGTTCTGTATGAATAAATAAATCTTTAAAAAAAAAAAAAAGATACCCAGAAACCTGTTTCCCTTGCTATAGATAAGGAACATACAAGTTCCACCAACTACCGCTCACATGTCTAAAGTCACTGTTGAAGATGATGGCTGACTGTCATTCCTGCTTGCTTCAGTCTCATAGCAGTAGCTCTCAGAGGCTGCTGCTTGTGATTGTGGGAGATTAAAGCCATAGTAACACCCTTAACTAACATAGCAGACATCTAAGGAGGTTAACACAGTGGGGTGTGGTGACTATACCTTTGCTTGCTCAGGTCGATCCTGGTGCTGATTTGGAGCCAGGCGTGCTAATGAGTGCACAGACGATCACATCTGAAACCACCAGCACTACCACCACCACCCACATCACCAAAGTACGTGAGTGCAAACAAACACAAGTTAATATTCAGAACTTTCGGTGTGCGTTGCTCAAGTAGAAATTTACCTGAACATCTTGATGCCCAAGTCGCTGCATTGGAAGCTTACACAATCCCTGTATTTCTGCTGCATTTGCCCTCATGTTAGTGTCTGCATAGGAAGGTACATTCTGATACCCATTGCCTATCACTGAACTTCTGTGCTTGGCACATGGTAGATGTTCCAGAAGCATGGCCAACCTAACCCAAAAGAGCCCATTCTGCTCACTTCCGAAATTATCAATTTTTAAATGTAAATGCTGTAGATTCTGTTTCAGTTTTTTAACAAGTGAGTGATGTTACTTAAAACTCTATCTAAATTTTCTCCCATTTACCCCCATTGAACAATGACTTTTCTTCCAATTGGGCACATTGATAATGCTTATCTGTTCCTTTCAGACTGTGAAAGGAGGCATTTCAGAGACGAGAATTGAGAAGCGAATAGTGATCACAGGAGATGCGGACATTGACCACGACCAGGTAGTGTGCGGGTGTGTTCAGGTCCTGCGGAGACACAGGGACACCCTTGTGGGCCCTCCCCTTCCCAATATTGTTCTCGTCCAGCATGTAATCTAAGCAGTTTTCTGATTTAACTTTCCAATATGTAACGGACGATTCCTTTTGCAACCATTATCCTCATTTGTAAATTGTGTTTATAGATCTAGCTCATAAGACTTCACCTTGCTCTGATCATGCATGTTCCACCTCCTTTTTGTCTTTGCCCTTCTGTGATTTCCTGGGGATAGGCGCTGGCTCAGGCAATTAAAGAGGCCAAAGAGCAGCACCCTGACATGTCAGTGACCAAAGTAGTGGTCCATAAAGAGACTGAGATCACACCAGAAGATGGAGAGGATTGACCCAGGTAAGCAGCGGCACTGATTCTCTAGGCTTGGCCTGCTGGCATGCGCTTGGGGCACTTCCCCTTCATCCTTCACCTGGCCCCTCCCTTTCATTTTTTCTCTCACTGGCATTTGCAAGGCTGGTTCCCAAGAGAATGAAGAATTGGTTTGTGGGTGCTAACATATTTCAGATTTGGAGGTTCTGTGCCCTTTGCATACTCTGCCAGTTAGACAATAAAGGAAAAGCGGAGTCTTTGCTTGCCCAGTCTCACTGTGTTCCTTTGAATTCACATCCTGTACTCTTTGCATTCTCCAAATTTGAAAGATCAAATTGGATTTCACTTGCCATGTGGCCTCATCAGAACTAAAGCATTTTTGTTCTGAAAGGTGCAATTTTGTGTTCTAAATACCAGGCAAATAAAATATACCCCCTTCTTTTGATGGAAGTTTTATTCCCATTGTAATTATTTCTGGTGATCGCTTGGTTATGCTTCTGTTTTGGTTTGGCTTTTAATTTGAAACCTGAGCACCACCTTCATTTTGAATATCTTATATTTTCTTTGAGGCGAATTTTTTTCCCCCTTTAGTGTAGCATTATGTCTCCAGAGAAAGCAAAAATGCAGACTTGTGGTCCTGTGTTCCTCCAGAGTCCGCATGCCTTCCGGCTGCTGTTTGGCCAGCATCATGAACAGACAGCATCCCTCTGTGTGCATAGCCTTGCCACGCATACTAAGCTGCCATGCAGTAACTCCTGGGGCCCTGGGGGCTTTGAATGCTGAATGCAACAGATGAGCTCCTTACACACTTGGTTTGGGGATAGAAGACTCAAAGGTCTTACCTGTAGAAGTGGAATAAGTACAGTCTCTAACATTGGTTTAGGTTGATGAGTGGAAGATAGAAAGCAAAACTAGGTGTTCTTCAAAGAGCATCACTTGGCTGTTATTTAGGAAATAGCCTACCAATGACTTGCACTGGAATTTGAGTATCTTGTCAAGAAGAGCATTTGATAATGCACAAGACACTTTTCTTGCGACCTTGATCTGGGAAAACCTCTCAGATGTTTTTGAATAAGTAACTGATTGAATCTCTTTCTACAGGAATAATTTAGCCTGCACATGAATCCAGTCATGCAAATCACTAGAAAACCAGAGCCTATATGGAATTCCCTCTTCTAACCCGACTGACTTGTATCTGCCGGTGGAAAATTTCAATCAGGAAGAACTGACCTTGACCAATAATAAAGACACTGGCAGAGAGATCTTCCCATAATAAAGCAATCCAAATCAGCATCACTAAACTGATATTGCATGAAGCAAAGATAAAATTACAAAAGAGCAACATTTTTAATTTTCACAAAGTGTCTAAGTTTTCAGCTATACCTGCACGTTCATAACCAATAATATAAACCGTGATCTCATGTAACACATAAACAATTCATGCCTTTCATAGTTTATTATTATTAAAGTTTAAACAAAATTGCAATTTCTTAGGTGACAGATCTTTTGTTTACAGATCAATGAAGATTACCCTAAAATTCTAGAAGCTGTCTAGATATGATGTGTCAGGTTTATCCCAGGTTAGATGTGCCAATAACCAAGTTTATTCAGTAAACAACTTGAATCTTGTACTTGTTTCATCTGGTTTTATTACTCTGACCCATAAACATTAACGACTCTCTGATCTCTGGAAATATTTAGTGCTTACAATCCTGCTTTGCGTATCTAATTTAATTTGTTAGAAGGTAGTACTTATTTTAGCAATGAATGTGATTTCTTCCATGTTGTCCACTTTGGTCTGTATTCAATCTGGAAAGCTTCCCAAAATTACCTAACAAGTCTAAATATGTCAATTGTCATTATTTTGGGGAGAAATCTTGTGTTTTTGTTAGTTTACAATACTATGAAATTTCACTCCAGAAGAATCTGTTGGGCTTCTGTTCCTTTGTTTTCTTTTTTTTGTTTCTTGTATTTTTAAATGATTTTTCTTCTTTTACTTGAAAAAGGGTGTTTTATTTCCAAATCTGGTCCATATTTACAATCTAGTTCAGAGCCAAGCCTTAAACTGTACAGAATTTCCACTGTAATTAAACTATTTAGTGTTTAGTTATAAATAGCCTTCAAAAAGATATATTCTCCATTACACTGTCAATTGCATCACACAGCCCATGGTGAATGTATGTTTCTGCATAGCAAAATAAAAATGATAACTGCATTTAAAACTCTAGTTCTCTCTGTGTAATGATTGTAGTGTTTCCTGTGTTGAGCCCACAGGTAACATTTGTATGACAACAAAGACCCCATTCATCACAACCTGGAGTTAGCCTGTCTTTTCACAGGTATACAGATAACGGGTGAATACAGTAAGACAATATAGAGCAGCCAAATACTCGAGATGGAGAACGAGATGCAAAAATTTATATCATGTTGGTTGACTCCAAAGACATTAAAAAAGTACAACTAGTTATCACAGTACTTTGTTTTCAAATTTTTTATTTCTTTTTATCAGAGGTTTTGCTTTGTAGTGTTTCTGGGTGGTATATATATATATATATATATATATAATTATTATTGTTTTATAGTTTATTTTTACATCATTTTGTGCCTTTTTCCATTCCAGTTGTAATTCCCATGGACTTTCCATCACCAATTCACTCATGCACTCCCTTCCCAGTTTTGATCTCATTCCCCTCTCCACCCCCGTAAAATGTCTCTGGTATATATTTGTTCATTATTATTTCCACACCCCTGGTCCTTTATGAATATCCTTATGAAACCCCCCATTTGGTATTTTTCTTTTTCTTTCTGGCTTATTTCACTAAGCATGATCCCTCTCAGCTCCATCCATGTTGCTGCAAAAGGCATGAGTGTATCTTTTTGATAGCTGAGTAATATTCTATCGTGTATATGTAGCACATCTTTTTAATCCAGTCATCTACTTTGGGGCATTTGAGTTGATTCCATGTCTTTCCTATTGTAAATAAAGCAGCAGTAAACATGGAGGTGCAGGTGTCTTTTTGAATCAGTGTTTTCATGTCTTTTGGGTAGATACCTAGGGGTGGGATTGCTGGATCATATTGAAGATCCATTTTTAACAGTTTGAGAAACCACACAGCTTTCCATAGTAATTGCACTAGTTTGCATTCATTTCTGGGCATTTTTAATCTACTACAGAGACAGATCTGTCTCACATCAGCTCCATAACTGAGCAGATTGCCCAATGATGCCACATGTATGCTCTCAGAACTTGTCCATATCCTGTTTGGATGCCAAGGACCAAGAATAAGACTTTTTACTACTCACTGCCATCCTACCACCTAATATATTCCCTGGCGTTTCTACCAAGTAACACAAGTAATACTTCATGTAACTTTTTGTTTAAAAAAATAACTTTTTTTCCAGAAAAGGTGTTAGATATCACTGCATATTGTCATTTTACTGGAATCCAACTCTTACTGTTTATCTCCGAAGAAGTTATCAGCTGTCCTTACTTTCAGTCTTAAGTATGACTTAGCATAAACTTCATTTCAGTTGTGTTAGAGACCATCAAAAATGCCTTTAGAGGGGCCCTCCCTGGTGGCACAGCAGGTTAAAGCACAGCACTAAGAAGCTAAAGCCACCTCAGAATGAGTTTGATCCCCAGCCCCAGAGGTGACCCACATGGCGCCAGACTTCTCCTTACCTGCCCGCTGCTCCCCTCAGCAGTGTACTTTGTTTATCTGCCTGTTCTGCTCCCCACTCTGTCTCTGGTGAAGTCTCTCACCATCCTTGCATAAATAAATAAATCTTTTAAAAAATTTCTTTACAAAATGTAACACTTTATAGACAAGAAGATGGTCAGTGGCCTTCCTATCTACTGAGGGTGTTGTCCCCATGTCCAGTGATTTAAACAAAATCTAGTGTTTTTGTGGTATCTCTGTTCTCAGCAATAACTTTATATAATTATACATTATAAAGTAAATTACATACTTTCAACTTCCTTTTCCTTCTCTATTACACTTCTCAAAATTTTTTCAGCTGCTATGGGGGAACTTGAAAGACATCCCCAATGTCTGGGTGTCTGTGATAGCAATGTCCTGCTTCTGGTATCAAAATCTGTATCTGCTTTTTAATCATAACATAAAAAGTTACTACAAAGTTAACAACTTAAAACAGCACATACTTATCGCATAGTTTCTGTGTATTGCATGCTTTTACTGGCCTTTTGATCATGGTCTTATTGACCTTTAATGCAACTACAGTCAAAGTGTCAGCTGGGGCAGAAGTCTCACTGAAGGGCTTGATTGGGGAAGGATCAACTCTCCTTGCAAAATTCATTTTCCTAACTTGAAGGACTGTGGCTGCTTGCTGCTTCAAAGCAGAGAAGGAGAGTCTAGTGTCTGCTGCCCGACTTACATAATATAACATAACCCGGGATATAACATAACCCGGGGGATGACTTTTCATCACCTTTTCCACTAGAAACAAATCGCAGGTTCTGCTCACAGCATCAACAAAATTTATATCTAAAAATTAGTCAATCTCTATCTAACATTCCCTAATCCAACAGTTACACAGCTGGATTTCATTTAGGGGTAAAAACGACATACACTTACTACTAAGAGTTTAATAACCTCTCAGTGATCTCTTTGGTGATCTCAGAATATTTTTTTAGCCATTACTACTAATCCAGAAAAACTGTAGAGTTGCCTTAGGTGGGGAATAAAACCCTAAAGGTTATACTTTCAGAAACTGAAGAACTCCACTTCAGTAACCAATTTGCCTCAAAGAAAAGAAATGCCTATTCTCAATTTGTTCTAAGATTCAGGTCCAGGGTTATAAGAAAACAAGACATTATGTTTCTCTCAAATGATCAGAAAAGCAAACTGCAAACCTAAATGGATTATACAGTTCCATGCTAATCACACACAGGGATCTGCAGAAACATTAACTAGGGAGATGCCAAGCCTAAAAATATGTACATGATGTTCTCTCTGGAGTCTTAGAATGAATTGCTAAATTCAGATAACAGCCTTCCTTCAGGTAAAGTGCTCACTGTGTACCATCAAGTGGACCATGAATGGAGCTGTCCCTATTATGTGGCCTCAGTAGTGTGGATGCAGCCTGTGCCCCCTCCTTAGAAGTGGATTAATGGATGGAGCTCTACTAAAAATCTGAGAATTCCTTGCACTTTCCCTTTCCTAGAAGAATTTTTCTATTTCCTTTTATTCTATATTCTTTTCAGATTTCCCAGAGCTGTATTCCTGTACAATGAGTTAGATCATGCACTTTGTAGGAATTAGCCCTTCTCCATTTTTTCTTTTTTAGCAATTACAGTAATCCCTTTTCTTCATAATTCTGACTTATATACATCAACCCTGGCCTTAAACAAATTAACATGCAATCTAAAACATGAACCCTAACCCATGGATCCAAAATTGTTTCTAACTCACAACTGAGGGTAATCATACCTTCCATTAATTTCATTTTTTAAAGATTTATTTATGTATACAGAACTGGGATATAGGCAAGAGGTGCAGGGGAGGTGAGGGGATTCACCAGAGACAGAGTGGGGAGCAGGACAAGGAGATCAGCAGTGAAGTAGACTAAGAGGAGTAGCAGGCACGCCATGTGGGTCACCTCTGGGCCAGGGATGGAACTCACACTGAGGTGGCTGTTGCTAGCTTGCAGTGCTGTGCTTTAAACCATTGCACCACCAGGGAGGACCCCACATTTCTTTTTTTATTTAATCGTTCTCATTATGAGAAATACATTCCTTGGATTGCCATGAGGGAAACTTATGTTTCAGTGCACATTTACTCATTAAGTAAAATTAGATTATTCCTTTTTTTAAAACTTCATTTTTGGGACAAGCCATTGTTGCATGTAAAATTGTGTTCTCAGAAATGAAGTTTCATTCAGTCAAATGGTTTCTCATAGGAGCTGCTGAGCTGATACAAAGTGGCAGAAGGAACAATCCACTCAAGTGTGGTCACTGATACACACTCACACTTGGGCATGCACACAGCCTCTCGTGTTTCTTTGAGATAAATATAGTCCGTTAAGAGACTGGCCAGGTTATTGTAATGCATGCTTAAGGAAGGAACAGAGTGTCAGACAAAATAATAAGGGAGATCTTAGAACACCTGAGGCTAAGAGGAGGAGCCAGTATATTTTTGACTCAGTCTCCTTGAATCAAACAAAAATCAGAAGACAAGCAATAACAAAGAAAAGCAAATTTTCAAG